TATCCTTGAAAATTCTAATTACGCATTATGCAATAGCACAGAATCTAGGCTTGAAATAAAATATTTACTTAATAGTTCTAAATCTATAAAAGACGTGGTCATAGAAATTACATCACCCAGTAAAAATTTTATTTTACTAACCAGATTGCTATCTGCGATATCTCTGGATATTTATCTCTTAGTTTTGATGGAAACAACTAACAATCGCACCATTGAGCGGTCAAATTGTTCGTTTGTTTTTTTCTTCTTCCAGTTTCTTTCTTTCGCTCCGTGGTGCCTTTATTTTTCAAAACTATGACTCCTGTTAATTAGTGGTACCCTATCGTCGTTACTAATACCCGTGAAAACTCCTTCAATTCATGTAACGTCACAATTTTATAATTTTCTGACGAGGACAGTTCTTTGAAACTGCTCATAATAACAGCTTCTATCCTGGTGTTAGTTTAAACTAAACTAAGAAACATTGTTTAAGTTTTCTTGTAAACTAAATAAGTAATAGAAAAACATTCAATAGAGTCAACGTTAACATAAGAAACTAAAGAAATAGGTGATGCGATTTTTATGACCGCGACTGTACTTTTCCAATCATATCCACATTAATAATTAAAGAAATCTATTTCCACTACCGATGCGAATATTAAATATTACATGGAATGAAATAACTGGTATCATTTAAGAACAATGATGACTGAGATTCCTAAAACAGGAAATTACCTTGAGAACACAAAACGTCTTGTTTTCTACAAAGAATAATTATAAATACTTGATTGACGATATTTTTGTTGTAGCTTGGCCAAATAAGAAGAAGATATTTAAAATTCAAATAAGTGGATTCAGATTTAATTGTAATAAGTCGACCAAAAATGTTGTTAACCATTTCCAAACAGAAGGTTGACACGGATTGTGAAATGATATTTTTTATGCTGTAGTCATTTTCATTCATTTTTTAAAGTAAAATTTTAATGAATAACTGGAAATCATTATTGGGTATGCGCTAAGAAAAAAAACAGTTACTCTTTAAGTTGATGCCAAAGCAGTAAACAAATAATACTAGGCGAATAGCAAATCATAATAGTTAAATCTATATTAATTTTAATTTTATTTTTATTTTTTATCTTATTTCGCTAATATATTTTAGTCGGTTACATAAATTTAGCCGCACCAAGTGTAGCCAGTTCTGAAGAGCTCTTCAAGAAAATCTATGCAGGAATCTTTAATGGACATTCCTTGCATTAGACTTGGTTTTCTTCGAAGATATTGAAAGATAATTTACAAATTGTATAATTGGTAAATTTTCTAAAATAATTTCCTTCTTCGAAAACCAACTTTAAAAAAAATAAGCCTGCCACGTAGGATCGGTGATATCAGCTTCCTGACTGTGGTTACACAATTACCTATATTTCGAGTTTTCTGATTTATTGTTAGAAAATAAATTATAAAGGTATTGTCTTTCCAAGGAATAACGCCCAATCGAAAGATGTAAACCGACTTTGATAAAATCTATATTCCTTCTTGGATGGATCAATAATACTCTCAATCTCAGAAAGTTTTGTCAAAACGCATGAACACCAGCATGTGTTATGCTCGTAACATGGATTTTACATTTGCGGGTGAAGTAGTCATTACAGGAAGGACATCTAATGAACTCTTGGGAGCCTTCGAGGAGTGTGAAGAACCTGCAAAAGGGCATGACTGGTAATTAGGGTTGCCCAAATGCGAGACCGAGACGAGTCTTGGTCTTGCAAACTCAGTCTTGTTCATGGTCTTGGTCTTGCGCAAGAGCCTCGCAACAGCCATGCAGTTACTGATTAGCTTATTACTGTACAGATATTACTGGATTTTTTTAGAAAGGAGAAACCTAACTAAGCCCGAATGAAAAATTAGAGAAAATAAATGCAAAACTATATTGGTTATATTAATTATTTACAAATAGTAACTAAGATTGTGACTATTTTGCCATAATTTTTATTTTAAAAAACTATGTTTTTTACCAGTCCTGGTCTTGGTCTTGCAACAGTTAGGCGGCCTTGGTCTTGATCTTGCAAAGTGCAAGACCAAGACCGATTTTGGGCAACACTACTGGTAATAAATAAAGACATAACTAAACATGTGTTAACGAAGAGGGAGATGAAAGGCACTAGATATATCGAGGGAGTTGGACATCGTTTCGAAAGAGTACCACCATTTAGATATCCAGCCACTGTTATCACTGAGAATAACAAAATAAGAGAAGAAATAAATGCAAGAATCACAGCTGGTAATAAGTGTTATTGGTCCCTAAAAAAAAATCTTTCGGAATCGTGATATACAAAGAGCTCTCAAAATAAGAGTATGTAAGACAGTCCTGCAACCAGTTGTTATATATGGAAGCGAGTGCTGGACACACACTCAACGAAGAGGGGCGATTGAACATCTGGGAAAGGAAAATCCTTCGTAGAATTTATGGCCCAAGTTTCTACAAAGAAAATCTTTGTATGAAGACAAATGACGAGCTGAAGAAGCTATATAATGCCCCAGACATTATATCCACGATAAAGAGGGGAAGGATAAGATGGTTAGGTTATGTGAAAAGAATGGAACATGGTATGCTCTCTAAAATGATGATGGAGAGACTCGGCTGGAAGAAGGAAAACAAGCAGGCCTAGATACGTTGAAAATGATCTAATGAGTCTTGGTGTAGGCAGATGGAGAAGGGCGGTTGAAGACAGGCCGGTTTGGAGGAAGATAGTCGAGGAGGCCAAGGTTATATAAGGACCATAGCACCGTCGGATGATGATAATGATGATGATGATGATGATGGTGATGCTGTACAAATTAATTTTTTTAAATCTTGTAGCTACAGTATAACCTCACTTTCTCATGTCTACTGCTTATAACATTTTACAGCCATTATAACCTCAAATATTTGGTACACACATTTAATTGTTCAACGGCTTTTAATGAAATTGACACTAGAGCACTAGCGGATCTAGCAATCAGTTTTGAGGATTAAGGGATAAGGTTTATCATCCTAAAACTTTATATATATAAGGATAATTACTTTGGAAAAGAAAGAAATAAGCAAACTACTTAAATCAAATGATGTTCCAATGATTCTGAAATCCCTGATAAATAAAAATAATTACACGAACAATAATACTTTTAGAGATAATTTTTTTTCATAAGACATGGTTATATTTAGTAATGGTGTATACATTATAATTTAAAACTCACAGTAACAAATATAGATCAATAAAAAATTAAATAATTTTTCAATTTTGGAGAAACTTCAGTCCAACACCCCCCTCTTGGATCCCAGTGCACTAGACCATACGAATACTATTTCCCAACTTTACATAAGGTTTGGGTAAAATCTAATGAGCCATTTTTAAAATAATGTATAGAATTTTGATATGATTTTCGGCTTAAATGGATCCCTTTTTTCACAAATAGCTAAATTCCCTCAAACGTTAGGTCAAATCGAACGCGATGTTTTTGAGATACAGGCGTATCAAGTAAAATACATTTGGTTATAGGTAGGAGGAGGTAAAAAGCAAAATTGGTTTTGTAATATATGCATGTCAAAGAAAATACGCATGTAAAAGCGAATATATATATATATATATATATCTATATATATATATATATATATATATATATATATATATATATATATATATATATATATATATATATATATATATATTTGTACTATTTCCTCAATTTCATAAACCACCACACCTGCACATTTATAGGTTATTGGTCAATGAGAGAAAATCAATGAGTTTGAGTTTTTCGTGCCTAGATACTATTGATAAAAAAGAGAATAGTATTATAATCAAAATAAATAAAAAGTTTTGTCCACATTCTTTTATAAAATGATCAACTATTTAATAACAATACACTAAAAAAGTTTATGAGAAATAGAATGTAATAACAACCATAAATGCTGAAGCCAATATGATCTTTGCAACTTTATAATTTGAGGAATATGTATGATAACTATCATAATTTAAGATAACGTTTTAAAAAATTATAGTGGAGATATTGTTGGCCGTATACCAATCGGTTGAAGTCTTTTGGGGGTCCAGTTTATATTTGACCGTACCCCAAACCATAGATTTAAATAGTGATTAAAAAGATTACTTTTATTTCATTTATTTATTTTCTTTAACTATTTATATTTATTTTCATTTTGTTTGTAAATATTTTATGAACGAACTCTTGAAGCCTTAATATTTATTGTCCTTCAATATGGCGTACTGTATATTTATTATTCAATAAACTAAATAAATGAACCTAAAAGATTAAAATAAGGAACTGCTCAGAAGAAGAATAACTTGGTATAAGATGCATTTAACGCACACAACAAAAATTGATCAATAGAATTGTTAAAAATATTTTTAAAATGAGATTAAGATTATATTTCAAATTAAATATTTTATTGAAAAAATAGTTGCCAGAAACAGACCGCTTAAAACATCCACCGGCTGCCACAGTGATGGTATGTCAGTATCTAGTATGTCGGGGATAAATGTGACGTCGAGGAGGCAAAATTGTGTGCGCGGAGAAATGGTTGGGGACCCCTCCTCTTTCTTATTGTTTCAGCGGTCTTCTGAAATCTAAACGGAACTAATGGGAAAAATTGCTCACCATTGAAGTAAAATAAAACAATCTAAATTATATTTTGCATTAAAAAAGGATAACGCGAACAATTAAAATTCACTTAATTTTAATTGAATGAGTGATACATTTTTTAAAATTTAGTTGTCATCACAGAGCATCATTTCGTTCAGCTTGTCATTAAAGCGAATAATCCGTACTTCTTGAAGATGCAATGGAGCTGAATGCAGAAAAATGGAAAGAGACAGTCCAAAACAGGCAGAGATGGAGCAGGCTTGTTAAGGCGACAGAAGACCTACATGGTCTGTAATGCGCACAGAAAAAAAAAAAAAATCTTGTACGGATCTAAGGAATCAGTGATGCAAACCAACTTCGGTCAATGGAAAGAAAACGTAACAGGGACAAGCAAAAATGGAGAATCAGAAGAATAAATATGTGAAAGATGATAAATTAAGGTGATTAATGAGAATACTAACATTAATAACTAATCTGGTGTCAGTGAATATTTTGATTTCATATGTTACTAAGTAAAGAAAACTATTTTTGTTTGAAGTAAAACCTGGTTTACATGTGATGATAAATAAACTGACATTTGATTTATACGTTTTATATTTTAAAAAATAAATTACCACACATCAACACTCATTCATTATTTGCAGTTGCACTTGCCAGGAGAGCAAATACAATTTTTCATAGCCCTCAGGTAGCCATTGGGATTCCTTTCTTGCCATCTCCAGGTATCTTCGCACATATCCTTCAAGGACTTCTTCGCAAACCATTGCAGCTCACTGTTGGCGAGCTTACAGTCACAATAACATTCCGCAACGTCTCCATCCCTCCTACCGACAAACGAATATGGAATAACCTTACCCGAAGCCTCTTCGAATGCTTGTATCATTTCAAGAACTGAATGACCACTGCCTGTGCCAAGGTTGTAAACACGAAATCCATTGAAATCTTCACTACATATCCTCACAAGGGCTTTGACATGACCTTCTGCCAAATCTTCAATGTGGATATAGTCACGAACACCCGTCCCATCCTTGGTGTTATAGTCTTTTCCAAAAACTTTCAATTCCTCTAACTTGCCAACGGCTACCTGAGAAATATAAGGCATCAGATTGTTAGGGATCCCATTTGGGTCTTCACCTATTCGACCGCTTTCGTGGGCACCTACTGGATTGAAGTACCTTAATGATATCACTTTCCAACCCTCGCCAATGCCGCAAAGGTTGGATGCCATAACCTCTATTACATATTTCGTCCAACCGTACGGATTTGTGCAATTACCTGTGGGTGAATCTTCGACTAAAGGAAGTTCTTTGGGATTACCGTAAACTGTAGCAGATGAAGAATATATAAGGCGATAACACTGAAAAGCCCTCATTACTTCAAAAAGATTTAACGAACCTACAACATTATTCCTATAGTACTCTAAAGGCTTCTTGCAAGACTCACCAACAGATTTGAACCCGGCGAAGTGCATAACACAGTCGATCTTAAACTGAAGGAAAACCGTTTCAATCTCTTTCTTGTTCAGAAGATCAACTGGTATGAATTTTACACTTTTACCTGTCAGTTCCTGGACCCGGTGAAGAGACTCTGGTATATACTGATCCGAGCATCTATAACTATTGGAACAATTGTCAATAGCGACTACAGTATTCCCATTTTCCAGCAGTTTGACAATGGCATGGGAACCTATGTATCCTGCTCCACCAGTCACCAAAACAGTAGCTTTACACGCATCCATGGATTGATAGTACTTGTATACTGTTTACAATTACTATAATGTTGTATTGACAATTACACTGTGTCAGCTGCTTATTAAATGATCTTTTTAAAATTTATTTTTCTCACTTTTAGTTTTTCCACATCATATATATTAAACATATGTCTAGTATATTTATGTAAACCAATTAGTTGTAAATTAGTTACATTGAGTTCGTATCCTCGATTAAATTAACAAGGAGAGGGGGTAGATCATTCCGACACAAAGATGGAAAAAATCTTTTCTGAATAACAAGTACCGAGTGTTTTACACAAATTTAATCAAATCAGTAGATGATTAAATCCCTGGGTGCTCATACAGGGACATTATTTGAGTAAGGTAATCAGTATCGGAACTCAAAGTAGCTTTTATATCCATCTTTCTTCTGAAGACTTAAACATCTACAGCTGCCTTGAATATGTAGCCCCGCCCCTCAGTGACATTTGTATGGAATCAACATCAAATTGATTTTTGATTTTGTAATTAAGTTTTAAAAGGTTAGCTTGCGACGTCGTGTGGTAAAAAAAAAATATATAAATTATAGCCTTTTATATTTTTCCAAAAAACAATAGATTTCCTTAGCCTATAAATTTTCTAGTCTTCCCAAAATATATTTCTATCCATAGCCCATTCTTCTTGCAAATTATGTCCCATCATAGACTCTTTTCTCTGCTCATTTCACGGTTTTCTTCGACCGATCTTATCTTCTTCTTCCGTCAATTTTCCAAAAGTAAACCTTTTTTAAGAATATTAGTTTAAACATTTAAATATCTATGCCAACCGAGAGACTCTTTTTTTTACTCTTTGATTTTTTATTTAAAATAAAAATTTGTTTTTTTTCGAAAATAATAATGTAGTCCTTTTGGGATTCCTGTACAATTGTAACTCAACTTTGACGACTGGACCAACACTTCATGATCACGCTATAAAATTCCGAAATTGCCGAAGATTTTTGTAACTTCTGTTTATTTAGATCACTCCCTTTTTACTTCTCGCTCAAATGGGTTGAACATACTCGCAATCGGTACTTTTCAGATGTGGTCGTTTCTTGCATGGTTCAGTTCTTTCGACCTACCTCCTGACACCAATTATAATGTGATCAATGAGGAACAACATTTGTAGAATTTTACCATTGATTATTTCTGGGAATTATTCTTTAACTGCGATCTCAACATTTGTTTCTCTTAGCATTTGTTATTTTTACGTTACTAATTCAAGACACTTAACAATAATTGGGGTGTATGGTCCTTTAGCATGGTAATTGATAAAACGAAAAAATTCAAAATGCTTGGTGATCAACTAGCTATAACTTACTATATCTTACTACAAGCATTGCTGTTCAACCAATATCCAACATATTTTATCAACAATCTATGAAACCAGCTGTATGTGTTGCCCAAAACTTCAATTCCTCAAAAATGTCTTATATCATGTTTTACAAGCCATTCAATTACCGATAAGTTAAATTGTTTTTGTGGCAGGAAAATTTTACTTACCATTAAAGTCAACTTTAAAAAATTAACATATAAAAAATCCTCTAACAATTAATTTTCAACACAAATATCACATATTTACTGATAAAGAAATTAACAAAATAAGTTCTTCATTTACACAAAACCCAGATATCACAGCAGATTATTGAAAAAATTTAACTTAAAATACACCAATAGTGTAAACTCAATCCAATTATCGAACACAGCTTCACTTCTCAGTTAAAAGAAAATTAAAAATGCAATAAAATGAATTCATTAAAAGAACACCTCATTTTTTTTTTTCACATTCTCCTCCCTAGAGTAACACAATGGTTCATTTTAATATAGCCATGAATTGGAGAAGGCGAAGAGAGTTGGCAGGAGAGAGAGATTTGTGGTCTAGGCTCAGCAAGGGAACACTAATACAACAATGGTGGTAGGCAGGGATTGGACGAAGAAGAAGAAGAAACAACAAAACAATTTTGGTTGAAGTTTAAAAAAAGATTGATTATTAAAATTACATTATGGTGAGATGCTAATAAAAAAATTATCGCTCTTATGAGTTTTTAATTAGTGTTTATAAGTACTTCCATACACGTACTATCTTATCCTTCAATCTTTCCTCTTCGACAGATTTTTTTCAGTTCGGCAGGGCTCGGAAGTGTCTTCAGTCCGTCCAATCTTAGCCGGAGTTCCCCAAGGTTCAATACTAGCCCTTCTACTTTACGTTATATACACCTTCGATATACCTATTGACGATGAGATCTTGACAGCTACATATGCAGACGATACAACAATCCTCACAAAACATCAAGACCCTACACAGGCCTCACTAACTCTACAACATCATTTGCTTAAACTACAAGATTGGTTCACACTATGGAAAATTCTACTTAATCATGGCAAATCCAAACATATAACATTTACTCTACGAAAAAACACCTGTCCTCCAGTTTATATTGACAACAATCAAATTCCTCAAACGGACACGGTACTTTACCTTGGACTCACCTTCGACAGAAGGATGACATGGGGCCCACATGTTAAAATGAAGCGTATGACACTTAACAAACGACTCAAACTACTTTACTCTCTTTTTGCCAAATCTTCAAAACTAAAACTAAAACAGAAACTGAATACATATACATACTTACTTAAGCCCATATGGACATACTCATCACAAATATACGGCATCGCTAAAAGGACCCACCTACAAAAACTTCAAACGTTCCAATCAAAATTATTGCGACTCATAACAAAAGCACCTTGGTATGTGACTAACAAAACTCTACATACTGACCTCCACTTTCCAACAGTTGACCAACATATAACGACCCTATATCAACGATTTTACACAAATTTAAATGGACATAATAACAGACTTATAAGAGACATGGCCACAGCTGACATACCTCAGAACATGAGCAGAAGACTAAAAAGGCATTGGATGAGGGATCTCCTTCCTTAGACAACCTAAGTAATTGGAACAAGTTAGGGAAGAGGTACTGCTGAGTACTTTCCTTCTCCATGCCTGTCATGTCATTATATCATTATCGCCATCACATTTGCTGATTGTCAACTTATTGTTGACAGGCGCAAATATATATTTTATAGACAAAAAAAATAAGCTTTAAAAGTTATCTTATATTTTTAAATATTATTAATATTATAAAAAGTTGCTCAGTTCCTACTGTATCACAACTGTGCTGAAACATTTCTGTCAAACATTCTTTCCATATATGACAAACATTAAAAAAGAAATCACAATAATGCAACATGTCATTTAGTTTAAATTTTCTTGTATTTATAAAAAAACGTGACTGATGAATAAAAATAAGTTTCCTAGTTTTTTTAAAACGGTTTCACGTGATATTGTTAATGATATTCAATATAGTATTCCATGTTTTAAACAACCTAAAAGTTAATTTATAAACAATTCATCATTATCATATCGTTTGAAACTATCTAGAAAACCTTTATAAAGTGCTCTAACAACATAAAAATTATTAAGGTAGTTGACTAATCTAGGAGTTTAGTGTCTCAAGTTCATTACAAACAATTATTCATCTTTTACATGCCAATATTTTTAAGTCACATTGTTGATCTTGACCTATGAATGTAGGATCAAATAATAAACAGACACCTCATACTCTCATGTTGTTTTCTAGTGAACTGAGAAAGAAATTAAAGTAGATTTTTCAGTGAAATCGCTGAATCATGAAAAACAGTTTTGCCAAGGATGAATCATTCTGATTTATAGTGACACGTAGCAGGTATGAGAGGAGACAGAGATGAGGAATTAAAACAATGCAGGGAGGAGAAGGGGGAGGGATGGATCCCGAGGCAGTTCTGAGGCAGGATGGTGGAGGGAGTAACTTTTAGAATGACCATTGAATTAGAGAGAAATGTTAGCTTATCTATGGAATAAATTGTAATAAATCAATTATCTAAATACTTAATACTTCAAGCTATTAAAAATTGGCTGTGATAGATATAGACAAGGTAATTAATTAATTTTATTCTACAACAAAATTTCTCACAATGTGAGTCAATTTTTTTATTAGTTTAATAAAACTTAATTTGAGTCTCAATAGCGATTGGGTTCTAACTACAAAACTGATTCGACCAAAATTTTAGGTAAAAATGAAAAGTTTTTTTTTCAAAAATATTGAATTTATTGTATTATTGTATTTAGCAAATTAGTTTTGACATTTAATATTGTTTGTTGCACTTAAAGAGTTTTGCATCAATAATATGATCAAAATTTTCAACTATGTAATTTAGATATATTAAAAGTTTCCTTAGTGATATTTTTCAATAAACTGACGATGAGTACTATATAGGAAGCCAGAGAAAGCATATGACACTTCCTGGTTAGTAAATAATAAAACTCGACAAAGTGACTTTCAACAACCATCGACCAACTCATACATACAATTTATGTCCATTTTCATAATAAGGTTCACTGATATAACAACAGACAAATTAACAAAATGGCTGCAGCTGACATGTCCATTAGGCGATTAAAAAGAAGCTGGTTGTGAGACGTCCTTACACGAATCAAGGGACTTAATCAAGAACAAGAAGAGGTGCTGCCTAGTAATATCCTTTCTCACACTTGGAATGCCATAATCATAATTTTTCACCACATTTGCCTATTGCCACTTTCTTATGTTACAGGTGTAAATAGAGAAAAAAAAGAAATTAAATAGAACTTGATGTAGTACTTTTTGTTTTTAATGAATTGATTCTTATAATTCCTCTTATACCAAACCGTTCTTGATTGAGTAAATTCATTGCTTAATTAAATTTATATGTTATGATTTTTTAGGTATAATGCTAGCAGTTTTAACTTGAACCGAAAGTTTCTGGATTATTTCAAAAATAATAATAAAAAGAGGGCAGTCCGAAACTGATGCTATCAAAGAATGGATTTGGAAGATTCAGTTCGTTCATTCAGTCAGCCTCCATGGCGGAGCTTTATTAGCCAGTTATCCTTTTAATAATACACCTAACTCAAGTAAGCTCTTCTCATAAATATATATTTACTTTATCATAAAAACATTCAGTATTATTAGCATGTATTTAACACAAAAAAACTACATTAAAATTTTTTTTTAATTCAAATTCTTGTCTTTCCAATGATCCCAATAGCGATATGCAGGTCTTCACTGTTGTGTTCAGATAAATATTTTCTATCCAAGTAGGATAGTTTTTATATTAGGATTTGCATAATATTCATAAATGAAGTAGTATTAGTAGTGATAAAATGTAATACTTTCATGAGGGAAGATATGGTACGTGGAGTAGATTATAAATAATTTCAAATATAATAAACTATTTTATTGAACCTATATTTCGATCCAATTTGTAGTGGTTCATCAGAACTACAAGTGCGAGTATCTCTAATGTGGTTCGAAATATAGTTTCAATAAAATGAACCCCATCCTGAACCATCATCTGGACCACCTCTTATCATAAATACGATCAGTCATACCATAAAATATCAGCTTTTACTTTTATAAATAGAAAAATAGTTACAAATATATAAAATAAATATTTTAATAAAGATAACAGGACAAACAAAATAAATCACAAAAAATATGTTAATATTTCAAGTCCCCTGAGATCATAGTAAATTGAAGAAAATTGACTTCTCATACAACTTTTAGTTATTAATACTCTTATTGTCCCTTTATTATAAAAATATGGTACAAACACAACTAAATATGGTGCTATGGTGAAATTATTATAACTATACTTGATATATAAAAGGGTATGTGTCATTTTGCAGAATTTGTTTTGTTTTTGTATCAATTTATAAGATATAAATTCACAAATACATATTTAAAAGTTTACTTGCTTCAAAAATGTACTTAATGACTTTCTGTAATTAACTAAGGATCTATGTTATGAAATTGATACCAAAAATGAACCTACTACAGAGTTTGCCAATATGGTTAGAAAGAAAAGTTTTTAGGGTGGAGACCATAAATCTCAAAACTGCATATAACTCATCTCAATACATATGATTAATTGCTATAGAAAAAAATATAAGAAAGTAATTTAAATTTAGAATTATTTAAACAAGGGTATATCTTGAAAGGCAAATTACTGAAAAGAAAACTAAAAAGTGAATTTTTTATATAGTTTCTATTTTAATAAAATATAGATCTATATTCCATTATTAAACATTATAGTATAAATGAAATATATTTGGAAAGTTTGAGGTGTAAGTTCAAAAAAAAAAAAATTTAAATGATAATTTTTCATCCAGAAATAAGTATCATTTAAAATTTCATAAAAGATAAAAAAAACTTCTATATTTTCTCAGTAATAAATTAAATTTTATTTCATACATTTATGAATTACTTCTTTATTGAAAGTGTGAAAAATAGAATAAAACCAAGCCTCACCTGTTGAACTTTTCTTCAAGTAAAGATTCTTAAAAGTGGATAAGATTCTTATCCACAGTAGCTCCACCAAAACTAATATAATTTCACTTCTCTTTAATTTTAAACCGACTACATACTATTAACTTAACACATCATATTTAAAAACTTAATTAGAAACATGTATAAGATAGTATATAGAAAAACTGAAGACTTGTAAATTCATTAAACTGATTCCCTCCTTTTTTGAAAAGTAACAGTGTTACCACAAACGTTTCATCCAAAAATATAAAATTAAACCATTTTAAAAGTTTTGGTTGTATAATCTTTATAAAATAAGATTTTGAAAATCATATTTAAAAAAATATATATCTTAGATTGTTAGCATCTATTAGAATCATTCATATTCAGTTTTATAAACTACCTTTAAAATATAAGTGTACTTTATATAGATATTGATTTCTATTTAGATCATTAAAATAGATTCTTGTTCTGTATTTTATCGAAATAAACATTTGACTTTAGATCAATCTAAAATATAATAGCAACTAAGAAATTAAGTGCTTATTTTAAACTGAAATCATCTCCAAAAGCTGGTAGAAATTATATCTTTTTAAACAACAAAATAATTAAAATGAAACAGTTCAAATTTTATTTAACAATTATAATTTTTATCCTCATAGTTTAAATTAATTATAAACTGAAATAATTTTTTTCCTAACTTACTGCATATATAACTCTTGTCTGCACATTATATAACTGCATATATAATGTGCAGACAAGAGAAGTAAAAAATCCCTGTCAATTATATTGAATACTCACAATTTAATGTAATAACCAACAGAAGTAAATAACATTTACAAATAAATATAATGATTGTCACTAAAAAAATTAGGCTTTGATATTAATTGCTCATAAATTAAAATTTTTTTTTCTACAATGTAACATTTCTATTTAATTAGTGATATTATTAACAGTGTTTCAGAGTTATTCATCATCTCATTCATTAATTCCAGATGAAAACGTTTTTAAACACTTGTCTCCACTCACAGAACCATCCAACTATGTACAAACCGAGAGCTTGCAAAGCTGGAAATCCAGAATTTCAATATGGAATTACTAGAGGCGCAGCTTGGTGCCCATTAACAGGTATTTCTTTTAGAATTTTATTTTAAAGAAGTGAATTCATTTAAAATTCGAAATCATTTAAATATACTAATCCATTCAGTTTTAAATCGTATTATTAGTCTCTTTTAATTATTATCCTTATGAATAGACTATCAGATTTTGCGTATTTCTCATAACTTCGGAAAATCTAAATCTTTATATCATTCATCATACAGAAATATTCTTAATCATGTTTTAATTATTTTACTAAGGTGGAATGAAGGATTTCAACTATGTCTGGTATGGAGAATCTGACCTGAAGAAGAATTTTAACCAATTTAATCTTTACAGCCATTAGTGAAATTCCTCACTGAACTCATAGAAGAGTCCAAGCTTTCGTTCTTGATGAAAATGTAAAAATTACATTACTGATTCCGGTCTTTTAATCACCGATCAGATTCGACATTTTGCCACAAGCACTATGGTAAAGGAACAAAATTGAAAAACGTGATTTTTCAAATTTGTTACTTTATTATGATGCCAACGATATGTACCAATATCTTCAGTAGAAATCTGAAAGTCTCTTCCACATTTCCGAATTTTCTACCCATTTCCCCATCTTATAAAACATCTGTATTTCACAAACTGTTCATTAATTACTCCCTTTTTACATTTAAAATCCCATCAATTTATCTATGTTCCATCACTCTAAGAATAATTATTTCCTTGTGCTCTAAATTAAAGTAAGTATTTGTAAAAACTAATTTATATCCATTTTTATTATTATTTTTTTTTTTTTAGTTGGTATATTTGTATAATCAGAAATGTAGTAATAATGATTTTAAGAAAAATGTTATTGTTTTTATATCATCATCCTTTGCATAGTACAAAGTTGTTATCCAAAGAATAAGACATTTATAAATTGATTTGTCTTTCAACACAGAATAAACAGTTCCTACCCACAAAAACGTATCAACAACCACACACCAAAGAGTAAAATTATTCATAAGATAAAGTAAGCCATTTATGAACAAGATTTTTCTTCCAATTTTTATTATATGCTTAAGACAAAAAGTTAATGTTTCAAATTTGAATTCCTGACAATGCGTGGAGGCCAAGCTTGACTATAAAAGCTCAAACTGTACAGTCAAATAAAATTGTCCTTACAAACTTTTGCAGTGTGGTTGTCTGCATATGTTAAATTCTTTTATAAAAAAATGTTTTATCTTTTTAATTCTAATAATAAAATCACTAAAAATTGCAGGTGTATGCTGACGGATATAGCCGTAGAGAAATTTATGGTTGTAGAGCAGCATCCAACACTTCTCAATGTTACGTTGTTTCCTGCCAAGGTGAGTCGCCAATCATAGCAATATGTTAGGAGGGGAGGTGGAAAAGCGCCTCCTGTAGCAGAAGAAGGAATTTTTGGTGCAGAGGAAAGAGGGGAGAATCTTCTTAAAAAACACAGCTTCTGTTATAAAGATTACTTCATTATTAACAGTATGGGCCATCATGATTGCAATTGCTTAAATCAACTTGGTCTTTGATGTATTCTTATTGATGGTTGCTCAATAAAAACTATAAGCAATTTTATTTCAAATACATAAGAAAATTTATGTTAGTGTGATTTTATGAATGTCAAATGACACATATTACAATTTTTTTTCCTGTATTGATTAATTGTTTTACATTTATGAAAGACATTATTTTAAACAGTAATAGAATATAATAAAACAAAATAGAATTGGAATTCAATAGTTCAATTAAAATTGAGTAAAAAGGGAAAGTTATTCAATAATAAAATCAAATATATTTGTATTAAACTTGAAACAATAGAAAGACAAAAAGATAAGGATTTTTTGTTATATGGAGATTGAATCCCCACAATGCGCTGTAGATACACTGAATTGACATCCCTCTTGTTCATCTTATTTACATCAACATACAGGCAGCTTTTCAAGCAAAGGAACTCTCACAATAATGGATACCTGCTTAGTATCAATGCAGTTAATTTTAGCTTCCAAGAAAAAAATCTTTCCGGAATTATCTGCCTCTAGGCTTCGGTTATAAAGCATATTTTAAAAAGATAACTTTGTCAAGTCCTGATTATTAATTCATTATTATTAATCCAGATTAATATTTTTTAAAGTAAAATATTAAATGTCACTGGTAGTCACTCTTAAGTCAGAGCCCTCATTTTCATGGACAAAAAAAAAAAAAAAAAAAAAAAAAAAAAAAAAATATATATATCTATCTTGTGGTTCCTTCTTTTTAAGTGAAACCTAGGGTGGATCTATATATATAATATATATATTATATATATATATATAATATATATATAATATATATATTATATATATAGATCCACCCTAGGTTATATATATATTATATATATATATTATATATATATTATATAGGTTATATATATATTATATATATATTATATATATATATAATATATATATAATATATATATTATATATATAGATCCACCCTAGGTTTCACTTAAAAAGAAGGAACCACAAGATAGATATATATATATTTTTTTTTTTTTTTTTTTTTTTTTTTTGTCCATGAAAATGAGGGCTCTGACTTAAGAGTGACTACCAGTGACATTTAATATTTTACTTTAAAAAATATTAATCTGGATTAATAATAATGAATTAATAATCAGGACTTGACAAAGTTATCTTTTTAAAATATGCTTTATAACCGAAGCCTAGAGGCAGATAATTCCGGAAAGATTTTTTTCTTGGAAGCTAAAATTAACTGCATTGATACTAAGCAGGTATCCATTATTGTGAGAGTTCCTTTGCTTGAAAAGCTGCCTGTATGTTGATGTAAATAAGATGAACAAGAGGGATGTCAATTCAGTGTATCTACAGCGCATTGTGGGGATTCAATCTCCATATAACAAAAAATCCTTATCTTTTTGTCTTTCTATTGTTTCAAGTTTAATACAAATATATTTGATTTTATTATTGAATAACTTTCCCTTTTTACTCAATTTTAATTGAACTATTGAATTCCAATTCTATTTTGTTTTATTATATTCTATTACTGTTTAAAATAATGTCTTTCATAAATGTAAAACAATTAATCAATACAGGAAAAAAAATTGTAATATGTGTCATTTGACATTCATAAAATCACACTAACATAAATTTTCTTATGTATTTGAAATAAAATTGCTTATAGTTTTTATTGAGCAACCATCAATAAGAATACATCAAAGACCAAGTTGATTTAAGCAATTGCAATCATGATGGCCCATACTGTTAATAATGAAGTAATCTTTATAACAGAAGCTGTGTTTTTTAAGAAGATTCTCCCCTCTTTCCTCTGCACCAAAAATTCCTTCTTCTGCTACAGGAGGCGCTTTTCCACCTCCCCTCCTAACATATTGCTATGATTGGCGACTCACCTTGGCAGGAAACAACGTAACATTGAGAAGTGTTGGATGCTGCTCTACAACCATAAATTTCTCTACGGCTATATCCGTCAGCATACACCTGCAATTTTTAGTGATTTTATTATTAGAATTAAAAAGATAAAACATTTTTTTATAAAAGAATTTAACATATGCAGACAACCACACTGCAAAAGTTTGTAAGGACAATTTTATTTGACTGTACAGTTTGAGCTTTTATAGTCAAGCTTGGCCTCCACGCATTGTCAGGAATTCAAATTTGAAACATTAACTTTTTGTCTTAAGCATATAATAAAAATTGGAAGAAAAATCTTGTTCATAAATGGCTTACTTTATATATATATATATATATATATAGATCCACCCTAGGTTTCACTTAAAAAGAAGGAACCACAAGAAAGGAATTTTTTATAATTCAATGATAAATTCATTTTAAAAACACAAAATAGAAAAAAATTTACTTGTAATGAAAAAATCACTGAAACAAATATTCTTACTTATATACCTCATTATGGAAAACATTTTTTTTATTTTTAGTGGAATTTTATATTTATGGATTCATTTAATTATTTGTATTAATCCATTTTAGCTAAAAAATAATGGTTAACTAATGAGCTAAAAGACAGAATATTTCTTCTTTTTAAATTTAAACTATATAAATATATGTGTATTATGTTTCTTTAATGTCATTAATAACTATAATACTTCTGTCATAAGATGCTGTGTGAGAATTATTTATCATATGCGCCCATTTCTGAGTTACAGTAATATCGTAAATAGAAAGCATGGAAAAATACATATATATATTTTATTTATTTGATTTGTTATTAGGAGTGCATGGTATTATATTTATATTTCGCTGATTAATTATTCAAGTGATCATTAGAAACAATAAACACAATAGAAATAAATAAAAAGGAAACAATATTTTTTAAATTTGAAATGGAAGTTTTTTATTTGTGTTTTTAAGGGCTTTCAAAAATAAATCCATCCCAGATCACATATTCTAAGGGTTTCTTTAAAATCCTTACGTTTAACGGTGCTAGTTCAAATCTGGCCTCGACAGGTTTACATTTATACTATGGTACACACACAGAAAAAATCTCGACTAACCCAATCTGAATGGGACTGGTTGTACCTCTAGAACACCCCCATATAGTATGCTTAAAATAACTATTTGCACATCAATTAAGTAGTGTTAGAATTTTAATGACCCTTCTGGGGCCAACCCAGCCCCATTTGATTGAGGATTTAGTCTATTAGCTGTGTTTGGATTATATATTATATTACCTTGATATAACCTCGGCCAAAAAACAGCATTCCATGACTAGTAGTAGTAGTGCAGGTTAACTTATTTTAATAATGGCTAGAAATAAAATAATCTGGACTACCTAATTGATATAATCACGTTACCATACTTCCAATTTTCTTCTAAGATTCATTTTTATCATACTTCCAATTTTCTTCTAAGATTCATTTTTATTTATGTTAAAAAGTAATCCACTTTGATGTGTAACTAAATATAATTACTGGTCATCTATTCTGTTTTCCCTTGCTTTTCCTTACTTGTGAAATACTGTTGTTTTTTTTTGTTTTTTTTCAAGTTCGTAGGAAAAGAAAACTACTATAAAACAAAATAATTATCGATTGTTGAGAGTAATATTTGGTATCAAAGTGAACTGATTGTTTGAAATTACACACTGTATTCAAAATAAGAAAAGAATAACAAGATAAAGGAAGTGTCAAAAATAAAAAAAAAGCTCTTGAGAAGCGGTCACTAGATCTCAAGCCATCTATACGGTAGTGATCACTACCCAATAGTTATCGACACATCGGAGACAATTAATGACATTCCCTCAAACATTCGATGGAACTACGAAAAGGCAGATTGGGAAACTTTTAGCAAATTAATAACTGAAGAATTACAGGCAACACCAACTTATAGAAAAATAGATGAAAAGGTGGATTTTTTAGTGAGCTAATTCTGAAAGTAGCAACAAAAACAGTTCCTACTATTAAAAACAACACCAAACACAATAGCGTGCCCTGGTGGAATAGACAATGTAGTGATGCTATTAGAGCAAAGAAACAAGCTCTTAATCGATTCAGAAAAACTAGAGCTTTACAAGATGCAATAGCATTCAAAAGACTAAGATCGATAGCTAATATAATTACCAAATATAGCAAAAAAGAATCTTGGAAACAGTTTGTGTCATCGCTAAATAATCTGACTCCAGTGACCGAAATATGGAATGATACGAACCCTCAGAGGAATCGGGAAACGGCAGAGAATTACTGGATTAGAAGTCAATGGAGAATTTATAACCAATCCTGGAGATATTGCTGAAGGTTTAGCAAAGTATTTCAAGGAAGTGTCTACCTCGAACAATGATCACACCCATAATTATACCTCAGGAATACATGAAAGGTACAGTTCAGTACCAACCGAATTTAAAGGATGTAAAGAACCATTTCAGATGCAAGAACTTAATTCTTCCTTACAGAAATGCATTGGAAAGTCAGCCCCTGGTTTAGAGGTTTTAGACGAGTAGGAACTGGAGTTACTGGCGAATTCTTGAAAAAATTGCTTAAGATGGTAAACTGCACCTTTTAGACATCTACAATGAAATATGGAACACCGGTGAATTCCCCTCCTGTTGGAACAATCAATCATCGTACCTATTCAAAAAAGAGAAGACAGTATCCAACCAAATGATTACAGACCCATTTCACTAATATCATGCATTTCAAAAACTCTAGAAAGGATGATAAACACCAGACTTATCGATACGCTAGAAAGAAGCAATGCCCTCTCTCCACAACAGTTCGGGTTCAGATCAAACCGCGCAACAACTGGCCCCCTGCTGTCATTAAGTTTAGAAGCCGAAGAAGCTTTTTTAAACAAAGAACACCTAATTGCAGTATTCTTAGACCTAGAAAAGGCTTACGATAGAATGGCAAGAGGTCGTGTATTAAGAATCTTGGCAAGATTGGGTATTGGAAAGAATATGTGGACATGCATCAAAAACTTTTTGACTGGCAGAAAATTTTGTGTACGAGTAGGAAACACTTTCTCCTCTAGTCATTCCTTTGAAAATGGTACTCCACAAGGTTCACCCCTCAGCTCGACACTCTTCCTCTTAGCAATTAACGGTATCACATCCGATATTCAGAGCCCCACTAAATGTTTACTATTCGCTGATGATATAGTAATCTCAGCGCGTAGCAAATCTTTAGCATTCATCCAGTGGAATTTACAAGATGTTGTTGAAAAAATAGAAAATTGGAGGAAGGAAATTGGGTTCAAACTATTAGCTACGAAATCCAAAAGTATCCATTTTTGCAGACAACAAAAATGTCTTGTAGACCCTCAAATAAAATTAGGAGACTCCATTATCGAGTATGTAGAAAACTATAAATACTTGGGAATGATACTTGATAAGAAACTGACTTGGGTTCATCATATAAAACATTTAAGAGGCGAATGTACAACAAGAATTGAACTTCTTAAATGCATTGCCCATTCAAGCTGGGGAGCCGATAGTGTGATTTGAAGTAAAATTGAATATGGAGCCCAAATATATGGAACAGATCGCAAAACGTTGCTAAAAATACTTGATTCCATACACAATTCGGCCCTTAGAATCTGCACAGGAGCTTTTCGAATTTCTCCAGTCGAAAGTATATATGCCGAATCCGGAGAACCCTCATTAGAGATGAGACGAATATATTTATCAATAAAATATGTATCCAAATTAAAAGCATGTCCACAACACCCCTTGAGTTCAAAACTATTTGATGAAGGATCTGGTAGGCGAGGGCTTAAGGAGATAGAGGAGAACATATTTAAACAAATGATTTATAAAACGCTATATAATATGAACATGGATTTGAACACAATTAGACTCATCCATAACCTCAAAATCCCTAATTGGAAGAACAGTAGACCGACTGTAGATGTATCAATGACAAGATGTAACAAAGAATACCCACTGGATATCCAAAACTACTTTTTTGAATTATTGGAGAAATACAAAGGATTTAATGTGATATATACCGATGCCTCCAAAATGGAAAATAGTGTTGGCTGCGCTGAATACATTAATAAAAACCAACACCAACTTCTATTTAGCTTACCTGGAGAGAGCTCCATATTTACTGGAGAAGCTACTGCGATCATGAAGGCCCTCCATTGGATATCAAATTCCAATGGCAATCAATGGATGATAGCATCAGATTCCAAAAGCGTCATGACAGCAATAGGTAACCCATGGCCAAGCAATTCAATAATAAGGGATATATTGAATCTATGGTGGGAATTAAAAAAAAGAACGGTCCGAGTGATATTTGTCTGGGTTCCATCTCATTGTGGCATCACAGGCAATGAAAGAGCAGACCAAGCAGCTAACTTAGCAAGGGAAAGGCACAAGCCATAATTTCAATAAACTTTACCACATTGGAGGACTGGGTACAGGCAACAAAGTAGAAGTTGTTGGAAAATTGGGTAAATAGATGGAAAGCTGAACAGTCAAAATTATTAGAAATAAAAAGAGACTGCAACAAGTGGGCTATTAGCACCAGAATATCCAGAAGAGAAGAAACCATATTGTGTAGAATAAGAATTGGTCACTGCCTGTTTACTCACGGGTACCTTCTCAGGGGACTAGAAGCACCCACGTGCAAAAAGTGTGACAATAAAACGCAGTCAGTAAAACACCTGTTAGTAGAATGCCATGAGTTCAACAACATTCGGCAAAAATTGAAACTACCAACAACAATAAAAGAGATACTGAGAGACAACCACCCTATTGCGATACTTAATAGAGACGAAATATTACAATAGAATATAGTAAACTAGCCGCCAATGACCCTCTAAGGTAGAGGCAATTACGAATAAAAAAAAAATAAAAAAAATTTTTAATGTTCCCAAATTTATTAATATAAAACAAATATTCTAAATTCACTAAATTAAATCATTACTTTATTGCACAAATAATTTAAACAAAACCTTAACTGATAATATTAAAAATAAGTACAACATTTTAATGTTTTTAAACCACTTCAATTAGCAGTTTGCCATAATAATTATATAAATGTTAATTACATAAATACAATAATCAATAGTGTTATAAAATTGAATTTTTTAAATAAAATAACAAAAATAAAGTTACTTTGATTTCTTTTCAAAACAATGACAAAAAATGTCTATAAATAAAATATTAAACTTTTTAAAAAGTGAAACAAAAATTATTTTATCATAACAACCATTATACTCCTCTTAAAATTCAATAACATATTTTATATAAGTAGAATAATTCTGTTTTTCACTGGTGAATTTCTTTAATTCAGCTGTACATAAGAGTGAGAAGAAACGCTGTGAATATAATTGGATTGCATTGCAGTCGTGAATTCACAGGTCCATTCTTGGTGGTCAATAACACTCAAGTAGCAAACATCCTACAACAAGAATTATAAATTACATAAAAATTGTTCAGTTGTATATTCATTCCATAAAGTGATTTGAAAAAATATTAATTATTTAAACAAAGGTATTTTTACGAACAACCTTTAACAAACAAAGATCTAATTACGAAAAGGAAAGTGAAGAGGGATTTCTCCACGCGAGATATCGGTTGGCAGGAAAATGACTGCCACCGAATTTATCTGGGTGAAGAGATGACTCGCACAAACAGACACCTCTATTGGCTAGCCCGGCAGAAGAGAGCGGCGGGAAAAATCAAATATACGTGGTTTGCTTCCGGAAAGGTGCGGTGTCGAAAAGAGGACGGACATAGAGTCATCCTGATAGAACAGGCCTCGGATCTAGATGTATTTGACTGACTACCTAGAAGCCGTCAACCCCTTAGCCGCATTAAAATAGTCTTACTTCTCTTAGTGCTATCTCTACACCGTCACTCATCAATCTATTTATTTTCAAGTACATTCTCTTTATTTATTTTTAATGTTAATATTACTTTTTCCTTATTTAGTTTCATGTACGATAATCGCTTTTCTGTACTATCTACTCGTTTTGTCTTCTCGCTACCAAACACTGACTGTTTCTCTCCAAATCCACTGTATGTCTAGTTCCCTAATCACATGTCAAGTTAACTCTCAATCACTTTCTGCCCATTATGACGAATTCCTGCAATACTTTACCCAAAACTTTTATCATATCATAGCAATATCCGAAACCTGGCTCAAACCTTATATTCCATCATCTTCAGTCTCCTTGCCTAATTACATCCTGCTCCGTCATGACCGGGTAAACCGGACTGGCGGTGGAGTAGCTATGTTTGTCCACAATAGCCTAAAGACCCGAATCCTCGATTGCTCCCCATCTTCCGATCATCCTCATGTAGAATACCTCTTAGTAGAAATTCTCAGTAATATTTCTCCTATCCTTTACGCCGTGGTATATCGCCCTCCTCTCGTGCCATTTGACCCGTCCTTCGAATCAACTCTATTCAACTTCGTTCCCCTCTATCCCAGAATAATTATCTCCGGTGACCTCAATACCAATTTCCTCTCAAAATCCAATGACAAATCCTATTTAGAAAATCTGGTTTTCTCACTTCACCTATTCATCGTTCCTTTTTCCTCCACCCACCACACCAGCAGATCTGACACTTGGCTAGACTACTACATCATCGACTCAGCACAAAACCTCCTCTCCGCCTCTCAATTGCCAGTATCCTTTCTTTCATCTCATGATCTGATACAAATAACGTATAATATCCGCACTCCTCCAATCCATCCTCGAACTATCACTTTCCGCCAACTGGATACCCTTACTCGAGAAAAAATATTACCTGATCTAGTAACATTGGATTTGAATGGAATATATCATTGCTCCTCTGTCGACACCATGGTTGATATTCTCACCACCAATCTTCTCAATATACTCAATACCCACGCTCCTCTCAAAACCTCCACTTTCCGTCATCGTCCTGCTCCTTGGATGTGTCAGGAAATTAAGGATCTACAGAAGAGACGCGACGCTGCACGCAGACGCTTCAGACGGACTAGGCTTGCAGACGATTATAAAATATTCAGAGTGCTTCGTAACACGACACAGATAAGGATCCGACAAGCGAAAGCGAACTACTTTCACGAAGCCCTTTCCTCAGCTCCTGATATCAAATCAAAATGGCTTCTACTTCGTAAGCTTTCCCTCTGTGAACCTTCTAGATCCCCTTCCTCAGTTTTCCCAATATCACCTGATGACCTAAACTCCCACTTTATATCGGTTTCCACCTCTTCTTTACCATCCCCTTCTGGCTTTTCTCCAGATGTACCTTTTAACGACAATAATTTTTATTTTTCCGACATTTCTCCCACAGACCTTATTACCGTTATAATGAAATCCCATTCCAATTCCGTAGGCCCAGATGGCATTCCTATCAAACTAATAAAATTATGTCTCCCTGAAATCCTCCCAGCACTCCTTTTCATCTACAATTTCTCCCTGCAGAATTCAATATTCCCGACATCTTGGAAAAAAGCCATTGTCCTTCCTTTAAACAAAAAGCCTAATCCATCCTCTCCCGAAGATTTCCGCCCAATATCAATCCTTTCCAATCTTTCTAAACCCCTAGAAAAGTTAGTGCAATCCCAAGTTTCCAACTACCTTGAACAATCCAACCAACTCGATCCTCTCCAATCTGGCTTCCGTCCTGGCTACTCTACACAATCTGCTCTGATTAAAATTACTAGCGATATCCAGACTGCAATAGATGACAAAAAACTAACCATACTTATACTGCTTGATTTCTCCAAAGCTTTCGATTCCATTATCCATTCCATCCTTTTCAACAAACTAAAATCATTATCCTTCTCCAATAGTTCCATCTCTTGGTTCCAGTCTTTCCTCTCACAACGAACCCAAGCAGTTTCCATACCTAATCAACCTCTATCTGCCTACCTTCCTTTATCCTCAGGAGTTGCACAGGGTTCAAGCATGTCTCCTCTTCTTTTCAGTTCTTATATTAATGACCTAAATGATTCAATTATCCATTGTTCCCACCACCTATATGCCGACGATTCTCAAATCTATTTATCCTTTTCTCCAGCTGAGTTATTGGTGGCATTTGCCAAAATTCAAGAAGATTTAGATCGAATTAGTGCCTGGGCCAACTTAAATGGATTACGGCTAAATGCTGCCAAAACTCAGGCCATTCTCATTGGTTCCAAGCCCCTTCTTAGATCCCACACCAACTTTCCCTCACTCTATCTAAACAACTACCCCATCACCTTCTATCCCTTTGTTAAAAATTTAGGCTTTCTCATAGATCAAACCCTTTCCTGGAATCAGCATATCTCTCATATATCCCGCCGTGCAATTTCTACCCTCAAACTATTCCATCACTTCCGCCATCTTCTACCCCAAAATACCCGTAGACTCCTAGTTTCCTCTCTCATCTTTCCCCACTTTGACTACAGCTGTGTGGTGTACGATGGCCTCTCGGTGGAACTGCGTGATAGACTCAAAAGACTTATGAATTCCTTCGTAAGATTTGTAATTGGAACCCCGAGACGCTCCCGTGTCTCCCACCACTACACTGAGTTAGGGTGGCTCTTCCCCTCCTTAAGAAGACAATATTTCCTCGGCACTTTCCTTTATCAAATCATTACCGATCATCGTCCTTCTTATGCCTACAACCTTCTCCAATTTAAGTCCTCAATCCATTCACTCACTACAAGATCCCGACCCTCTGACCTATACATCCCTTCTCATAGATCTGCCTCATTCCAAAATTCCTTCATAGCCCGCTCTGTCAACTTTTGGAATTCCCTCCCGATCAAAATTCGACATGCCCCTTCCCTATATACATTCAAAAACCTCCTATTCCAATTCCTGTTCCAAAAACAGTCTGATACCAGCTAACGATTAATATTATATATGTATTGTGTAGCAATTATATAATCATAACACTTGGTAAGAGATAGTACATGCATTTCCTACTATCGACGTAGGAATTTCAATACATACATTTTTTTTATTTTTTTTATTCAATTATAAGTAACTGTTTATTTTTATATATATATTCAAGTAAAGTTTTTGTTTTTTTTTTTTTGTTTTGTTTTTTATGAAATGAACTCATTGTATCTCTTTTTCGTTCTTCATTTCTCAAAGTGTATGTTTATGTTGTTCAACCCTTAAATATAATTTTGTTCATAGTTCAAGTGATTCGTTCATTGTTTTAATTGTTTTGTTCATAATTTTAAATGCTCTGTACATAGTTTTATCTGTATTGTATATAGCTTGTGCACCTAAGGTTTTCTTTACTTTTTATTTTATTTTATCAATTTTATTTATTGTTTCAACATTCAGGCCAGTAATATTCTATTATTTTGTACATTATTGTTATTCTGAAGGGACTTAGTCCCAGAATAAAGTTTTTTTTTTCTAAAAAAAAAAAAAAAAAAAAAAAGGTAGATAAATCACTTAAGTTGGAGAAATTCCTTTCTAAAAACTTACTCATTCGAAAAATGAAGCGAACACTATAGACTAGGAGCTACAGGCCATTTCATTTAACAGCAGGACTTAAAGCTAGCAATCATTTTAAATTCTAGATAAACCTCTGAATCTGAACACACAACTTTGGCCAGTCGGTTGAAAGCAGTTTATTTCTATGAAAACTTTAAATTAGAGGTGAAATTTGACAGTTCATTTAACAGAAGAATATAAAGTTGAAATTCTGATATGATGTTAAGAATATGTTATATAATATATATAAGAGAATTCACCTTAACTGACAATGTACTCTTTTGTGTTCTTAAAACTGAAAAAGTCATTAAATTAGGCCAGTCGGATGAGGAAAAAATTCAAATAGTTGGTTTCTCTTAGGTTTTTAGGGATGCTGAATCTGAATTTGATGGTCCGGAACAAAATTTTCCATTGCGTTCTGAAATATATGCAAACAACTGCGAAATTTCCAAACATTTTTAAGTATTTTGAACATGAGAAACAATGCATTTTATCAAAATTATTAATATTATTACAGACCGGATTTCCATATTATTACAAATTGTATTCACTTGCGTGTAGAAATCCCGAATATCTATCTGTTTCAGTATCTGTAGAATAACATATTTAAATTTTATATATTTAAAATTAATATATTTAAAGCACGTTTTTGGCTTAAATTATACAATTTTGATTTTCGTTTTATTAAATTGCACATTTTGTTCTAGATTAAATTATTTATAAATATAAATATATATGTGTATGAAAATATTTACTTTTTTAATTTATTATCTTGCCCATATTAAATTCATAATTTAAGAAAGAAAAATATGAAGAAGGTAAATGATTCTGTGATTGGCAAAGATTCAAATTTAACATTACAAAAGGACAAAGTGAACAAAAGTGCAGACTGACTATTCATGGAATAGAACTTGCTTAAAGTAATTCAATAAAAAAATTGCCTTCCTTGTTTTGGCTTGAATTCTCAACCTTTCTTAAGTCCTTCAATAACAGTTTTGGCTTACTATATCCTATTTGATATTCATAAAACCACATTTTTCAAATTTTCCTCAAAAATTAACTCAGTTAGAATCTCAAAAATTTTAACTTGATAAATAAATTGAAATTATAGAAACTGTAGAAGAAAATGTTGTCTTGCTGCATCTCTTTGTTTGATACAATTTTTTTATCGCAGGCATCAAACAAGGGGCTGGTAGGTACTTGATTGTCCTGACTTTAAGAGGAGCATGACAGTCAAGGATAATGTGCAGTTAATTGGTTAAGGTTTCTACCATAAAATGACCCACCCATGTGTCCCTCTCCTGTACCAACTCTCTCCTCCTGCTCCAGTCCAGTATTTAATGTCAGCTTATTCGCCCATGTGCATATTCTATTGATGTCTTGTTGCAGTTTCAGGATGGGATTAGGAGAATCCGTCGGGTTAAAGGAAAGATAAATTTGAGCGTCATCGGCATATAGATGATATTGACAGTGCATGATAGAGGAAGGGAGGTCATTGATGTAGATGGAAAAGAGGGTGGGGGATAAAGAGGAACCTTGTGGGACGCAACTGGACCGAGGTAGATACATTGATTGACAGTTATTAGGAACTACAACGTACTGGGAGTGATCGGTAAGAAAGGATTGGAACCACTTAAGGGCACTACATGATAAGGAAATATTTTTAAGTTTGGTTAGGAGGATATTATGGTCAACTGAGTCTAATGCTTTAGAGAAATCAAGAAGGATCAGGGTGGTGAGTTTCTGTTGTTCTATGGCTGTATGGAGATCTTGGGAGATTTTAATGAGGACGGAATGAGTGGAGTAGTCAGGTCTAAAACCAGACTGGAAGCAGTTTAAGTGGTTATGGATTGTTCTATTCGTTCTAAAGGTTTGGAAAAGTTAGATAACAGGGAAATGGACGGAAATCATTAGGGGTAGTGGGATTAGAGATTTTGTTCAGTGGATGAACAAGGGCGGTTTTCCAGGTGCTGGGAAAAGTGGAACTTTTTAGTGAAAATTATAGATAAGTATTGGGAAAATGGATGGAAGTGAGGATTTAATTAATTTAACTGCTATATTATCTGGACCGAAATCTTTGGTTTGGGATTTACAAATGGGTTTAAGGAGGTCATCAGGGGTAATATGCGAAAGAAAAAATGATTGAGATTAAAGGGGGGATGCATGAAGGGTGGAGCTGGTGCTTGGACAGAGGGATAGGATGAACAGGAGACAAAATGAGTATTGAGTATGTCAGCTGAAATAGAGGTAGTCTGGGTTTGCTTAAGGATAATTTACGGAGGATTGCCCATATAGTTTTGGAGTTTGGAGTACTGGATACGGATTGTTGGTAGTAGTGGGATTTGGCAAGGTGGATTGCATACTGTTTCGAAGCAGCTTGAAATTCGTGTAGCGTCTCTTTGTTTGATACAATTTTTTATCGCAGGCATCAACCAAGGGGCTCTGGTAGGTACTTGATTGTCCTGACTTTAAGAGGAGCATGACAGTCAAGGATAATGTGCAGTTAATTGGTTAAGGTTTCTACCATAAAATCAACAGAGTAAGAGGAGTATATGGAGTCCCATTGGATTGCGTCCCATTGATAACTGTATGTTCTTCTGTTAAATGAACTATCAAATTTCGCCTCTTTAATTTAAATTTTCATAAATAAACCAACGGCTTTCAACCTACTGACCAAAGTTGTGTGTTCCTTCCGTTAAATAAAATGATCTGTAGTTCCTAGTTTTCACTATATCTGTGAAAGATAAATATCAAAAACATTAATTGTCTCACTTTGTACATCATAATTAACACTACTTTTATGATTTTTTTTCTCTATCTGCATTTTTTATAGTCTACTGGTTTAAATTTTTGTTTCTGATTTTGTATTCAAGTTCTTCATTGGTGAAAACCCAGAATTTGACCTGCATAAAAATTCAAAGAATCCTTGATTGTCTGATTTTTTTATCCTTAAATGTCAGATTTTTTATGTCAATATTGGATTGTTAAAATGTACAGATTATTAAAAAAATTAGGGCATCATAAGATTTTATTTGAAACCTGGGGTAAATTAATTTTGGTTGGAATGTGTGTCAGATTTGGCAAGGAAAGTTAATAAATATTTTAACTCAGTATGACACGTAATCGTTAAAACTCAAAAAATCATTACATATCAACAATCTAGTGTTATAAAAATTTGAAGAGGAATTTTTATTGGAAATATCAATACTGCAACATATATACTATTGCTCTGCCTAAAGCATTAGCTATAAAATTTTATATAACTACATTTATTATGATTAAATAAAAGTAAAGGTGTTTTATGTACATCCGAAGTATCAATTTTGGTAAATTAAGATATTAGTAACACAGAACAAAAAAAAGTGCATAACATCATACGAAATAACAAATAAACAAACAAACAATCAAACAAATAAATACATACTGATAAATAAATTAAAAAATACAATTTAAAATGTTCAGTTTCAGTTTTATATAAAAGTGGTATTAAAAAAAAATCATTGATGTGAAATAATGAAACTAATTTTACATAATTAATAGTATTCACCTGTCGTTCATGAGTTTTTCCATTTTTCCAAAACCATTTGCAATGAATATCTAAAATAATTTTAATAAAATTAACATCTATTTTATAAATATGACAGACAGTAAAGTGTAAGAAACTCAGATAAACAATTAAACTAAGAAAAAGAGGTATACCAAAGATTTAGTGGCCTACACTTTTACTAGAAGGAGTGACACTTAGGATTAATGAGATAAGGAGACACGACAAGGCACTTTGAAATCTATCAAATACTACGGAACAGTTTTGTGATTCTGTTCATAAAGGAAGAAGGATACTGGATACAAGAAAGAACGCTGCAGTGCAGATTACGATTACATTTCTGCTATGTCTTGTAGGATAAGTTCCTAAAAATAAGTGAAGAGTAAACATCTTGGGCACGAAATTGGCTCATTTAACAAACATCTAAATCAATTGATTGGTAGTTTCTATTTTTAGACTCATTGTAAAACAAAAAATGGAAAAATTGTGCGATAGCTGTTTTAAATTTTTTTTTCTCCCATTGGATTTCAAACAGGGGGTTCTCAATTCAATCAAGTTCACTCCACAAATCAAAAGAGAACATTGAGGAAATAGGTTTTCTAATATATAGTAAAAAGAATATAGTTGATCATAAAATAAGAACAGTTAAACCAACTCTTTATTAAATTAATTGTGGATTGATGGTTGACTGTAGAGAATAATTGAAGAGAAGAATGGTTGAGATGTTCATTAAAATATATATATATATATATATATATATATATATATATATATATATATATATAAATTTTTAATAGGCCACTAAAATAGTTTATTTGTCATACTAATTTCCTAAATTAAAAAAATAAAAATAACAACTATTAATACTAACAAAAAATTGAAAAATAAGTTGTTTTTTTAAACACCAAGAACGACATCAAAAATACCCTAAAAGGATAAAATATTTTTATAAAAAGTTACTGTGAATATTGCTGGGAAGTTTACCCTTTTTATAATCAACAACCATACAAGAGCGAGTAAGGCACTAGACTATTAACTACACAAGGGCTCTATAAACAGAGTGCGATATGTTTTGGCGATACAATATCCTGCCGGTGGCGATATAGTTGTATTATCATCTATCACATTATAGGAGTTATACAAAGCACGTAAAACAAACAGCGATACAGACAAAGGACTATTTATCATTAATGATCATAAAACCAGTAACTTTGATCTGTAAATCAGGAACCACCACAGTAACTGTGATGGAAAATGTCATTGAATTTCTTCTGTAAAAATTCGACAAACTTATGGTTAAGCCCAAATATACCTAGTTCTGCCATAAATAATGTTACAAAAGTTGAACTATGTTTTTATCCTTGGGTATTATTTAGATAATCCTTACCTCTATCAGGTTATTTTCTTTACATGTCACGATAAAAATCTCAATCGGATAGTAATCTCAATTAGTTTCGCACAGTTAACATGGAGTGGGGTGATAAAGGAAACAGAATAGCTATGATTGGCTTACACAAAGTTGGGAAATACAAGTCAGAGATTTTCAACACTTTGAAACCTTTGGGTATCAGCCGTATGTTCGTGTACCGCACTACAAATAGATATAATAAGACCCTATCAATATGTGATAGACCTGGGCCGTAACTGCACTGTGAGAATGGCAAATGCAGTGAGAGTAGTGGCAGCTCGATTCAGAAGAAATCCCATTCCAAAACAACAGATCATGTCTTGGGAAAAGGGAATCTCTGTCAAATCAATGTCTCGCATAATAAAAAGTGACCTTAGGATGGGTGCATTTTGAAGAATGACCTGAAAAAAGCTAACCACTTCCCTAAAAAAAATTAGAGTGGATAGATGCGAAGTACTCCTTGGCTGTTACACCAATGGTCTTCATCTAAAGATTTTGTTTAGTGATGAGAAAATTTTAGCAATTGATGAAAACTTTAATTGCCAAAATGATCGTGTGTACGCAAACAGCTCTTAAAGGAGCCCAGGAAGTCATTGGAAGAATGGAAACAGAACATCACCTTCCTTGAGAACATCTTGATGGCACTAAAAAGCTCCATTTTTGTGAAGAAGGAGTGAAAACATCCCATAAAAACTATCAAGACAATATTTTGGAGCCTGTTATCAAGCCTCTAAATGATACTCTGTTTGCTGGAAGTTATTGGGTTTTCCAGCAGGATTCAGCTCCAGCTCACAAGGCCAGGTCAACTCATCAGTGGCTGCAAAAGAACATTCCAAAATATAATATACATCTATGTTAAAAAAATGGAATAAGGCCGACTTCGAAAGCCCTGGAGTGGGAACAAAGCAATAACTTCAGCTAATAGAAAAGAAAATCTAGTTAGTTAGGGAATCAAGAGAGAATACTGGAATATGGATTTTATGTTTTTCACAGTAATTACAATTATTTCACAAAGAGTTAAAAATAATGTCTATGCCACCTAATGTTCAAGGAGGATAGTACAGAATGAGCAGTGAACAACCACAAAAGGAGCTACCTTGAGGAAATATTTCTCCACCTTGCGGAGCCGCTTGGAAATGAAATGGGTTTTCCTGGACTACTGGGTCTCTTAATTCCTTTCAGGGTATGGTGGATCCCACACTAAGCCAGTCTTGGAAAAAACATACATCCTCTATGTCCCAGATGCGGAGTACCGGAGAGAGCTGGCCAAGTCATATTCAACTTCACCACACCACCTTTGATGGGTTGAGGCCCAGAATGCTGACTGGAAAAAAACTGGACTCTACGGTCATTTCTTCAACTAATCAGGGAGCAAAATTATAAATATTTTATGTACAGGTAGAGACTACTCTGGGTCCGGTCCAGCTTCTGGAAGACTGCCAGATTGACGTAATTATCTCCTTCCTCAATGTTTCAAGTGAAGTGTTAGAAATTAGTATTTTTAATATCATGGATGGCATAAAAATAGTTGTGATATACCATCCCTGCAAAACCCATGTAGAAGAAAGGCAAGGGAGGGAACAATATATAAATGATCAAGCATAACCTTAAAAAAACTTTAGGCATCTTGGGAAGAATTCCATTGAAGACATTGTAGTTTAATCTTTTTTGATCAACTAATAAATCATTATTACATTAATATAATAAAAATTAATACTCGGACCATAAAGGTTCATCTATACTCTTCAATTTTTCACTCTATACCCCTCCTCTGTTTGGCCATAAACTTATGATAATGGTGTATTTATACATTAATACAAAACTGACAGTAAAGCAACTGAAAAAAGGTCACAAAAAAGGCTATAAATAATTACTTGTTCGTTTTCATAATCATAAGAAACATTCAGCCAAGAATCTAAATAAAGAGACCTATATAAATATTTTTTTGGAGAGAAATGTATTAAATTTGAACTGATAACATTGAAAGCACAACATACTACGAGAAATCATGCACAGAGACCTCAACAATCATTAAGAGTAAATGTTTTAAGAAATATTAAACATCTGAAAAAATTAAAACAAGGCAACAATTAAATGCTCTAAGGCCCATAGTTATATACTATTAACAGATAATATTAGTAAATTTGTATAACATAATATAAAAAAAAATAATAATGATGAAAATCCCTAAACCAATATTATAAAACCTTATTGCACTATATTTAAAACAGATCAAAAATATAAGATTAGTATACAAATTAAATAAAAAGAAAATGTTTTAAAAAGTACATAATATGATTTATTTACTTTGATTTTGACATGAAAAATGAAGAATGTGGAACATGGGTGCGATATATTATGAGTTACTAAAACCAGGTAGAACCATTAATACTGAATACTATAGACAAAAAATGATCAATTTATAAAAAATGATCAAGGTTTTAGTACTGCATAAAAACAACCAAAATACCAAAAAAAGACAACACATAGTGCTTTTGTTTCATAATAATGTACCATGATATACAGCAAAACCAGTGCAGGAAAGAATTGAGGCAATCAGTGATAAACGTGTATTTTATAAACAAAAATTTCGTTTTCGTACTTATACACCTTTACTGCTTATCAAAAAAGGAATTAACCTTCAAATTATAATTTATTGTTTTTGCAAAAGGAATCTTAGAAATTATGCAGCAGAATAATTCCAAGAAAACTACACTTCTAAAATAAAATACTCAGTGAATATTTTAAAGAATGAAAAGCAAAAATTATAATCAAAATCATGAAATGAACATCATATGATCCTAATCTTAATCCAATCATATTGCAGTAGAATGAACTTGAGCATATTAATTTTGCCATTTGGAATTTGGAAGATTAAATGTACCAATTTGATAAATCAAGAAGAAATATACACATATATAATAAGTAAACATAGGAATGAAACGTTACTTGCTGACAAACTTGCTTTGTACGAAATTCAAAGAAATTCTTTTAACCAAAAAACACATTTTTGCTGTTTTGGATTAATTACACCGTTCAATTCCACAGATAAAAGAGAATCGACAGTACTCAGAATTTCATTTGTAGGCTTCTTAACAAGAAATTATTGAACCGTTACCATTGATAATGTAGCATTTAAAAGATATTTAAAAAATAAAAACAAAATCCAATACCAAGAGGTTTCACTCAATTATGTAATAAAGCATTAGTGGCCAGTATTAAGATCAACCTTTGTTTTTAAAAGTTAGGAAATAGTACAAAAACAATGACTATGACTGTTATTGATTAAATAAAACACAATAGCACAATAATTAGTTTATCATTGCAGTTTACTATACATGCCCTTTCCAGAGGCGTCAGGCTGTCTTGAATATGATTTTCATTGACAATCGGCTGACAATCAATTACTTCCGGAATGATCAGATCCTGACACTCTTGATTTTGCTAAAACAATACAGATTCTTAAATTAAAAAGCTGAATAGAAAAAAAAGCATGTAAAAAAGTCATTTGGAAGTTATTTGAAAAATAATACAAAATAACATTTTATTATGTAATCATCACCAACAACAAGCTAATTTGATTGGAATATTGAGTGAGTCCAATTTGCTTCAGTCTAAAAGAAACATATTTTCACAACAACAAAGATAAATCAGTAGCAGTAATTTGTGTAAGTAAAGTTAAAACTTCGTTTCAGTTCAATATCAATCACATTCAATGTGTTCAGTTATTTTTATTGCTTATTTTATTTTTTAAATATGTTTGTCTAATACATCAACATCATCATATTTCTTCTAATACATTTTCATTTATATGTTATTTACAATTGATACAATAATTAAAAATATTGATGTTAGATACATTGGTCTAAAAACATCAATAATTTTAATGAAAGCGTATAAAGATCTTTATTGATAATCAATTTGCATAATTAGTCCAATATTTAATTTTTTTAAAACTTCACAATATTTCTTAGGATTTGAAATGCTCCATCATTCGAATCAACATTAAAATGCTAGAAAGATCAGTCAGAGAATTAGGATGGGTTTAGGAAGTCAATGTGTACAAATAACAATGAACTTGCAGATGTGGAAAAAGAATTAGACCATAGGTGGGAAACCGCGGTATCCAAATGTTTTTGTGTGATATTTATTAATCTAGAGCTAGTATTATTAATAGTTAATCATTTGAATAATAACAAAATGGATATCAATAGAATTAAGTTAAATGTATTTATGTGGGTAAGTGTATTTAATGATTAAAAAAAAAATAAAGGTGAACTATAAAGAATTATAGCGGCTTCCATAACCACTGCCTAACATTACTGCGGCCTCTAATGATAATAAGGTTCTCCACTTATGGTATAGACGATCGGGTAGATTCTTTTAATTATACAATTATGGAAGTGACCTGTTAAAAGTTCCTACCTTAAAGGCAGAGAAACCTCAAGAGGGTAGTTCTATAGTGGAATAAAAAATGTGAAGAAGTCATAAAGGATAAAAAATAAGCAATCAATAGCTATAGAAAAAACAGGCCTTCAGAGAATGCTATCCTGTTTAAAATGTTCAGGGCGATAGCAAATAGAGCAATTAAAGATAGTAAAAAGACTTCTTGAAGAGAGTTTGTTTCTTCTTTCAATAATCTTGCTCAAGCAAAAAATGTATGGAGCAGGATTCAGTTTATATGAGGAATAAAGGTACAAAATAAACTATTGAGTTTTAAGCTCAGAGAAGTTGTTACTAATCCAAAATATATAGCAGTGATATTTCCACAATAGTTTCCTGAAATATATGCTTCATACAGTAGCACATTTTGAATTCTCCCATGGCTATCTTCTCCGTGGACTGTTAACCCTTACCTTTGTTGAGTGCAGTGCAAATAGGACTGTCACCCATATACCAGATATACTGAAATACTGTGATACAATAATGAAATACTGAAAGATTTGGAAACTGGTTCCTAATGGAATTCTTAAAAATAATCAAGTAAAAATATTAATTTCTATATCTTATTTCATAAGATATCTAACAAAATTATACAGCAACTTATTGGCAAGCAAAGAAAAATATCAAAGTAACCTGCTTGACATAAAAAAACAAAACAGAAACATCAGCAATACTAATTTTTAAACTTTTTTCACAATCAAACACCCTTTTTTGGCATTAACATATTTAAAATTCTATGATAACTCCAGACCATTGATAGAGCTGAATCATTCATTCTAGTTGCTTTTCGAGAAATAATTTTTGTAGCTGTTTGTTACCGAGAGAGGCAGGGGAATTTGGCTCCAAATTGTCATCTTGGACTTAATAAGTCTCCTCCCAAAAAAGTAAATAAATAAATAAAATTAATATATAAAAGTGAGACTTAAAAACACATTCATGAATGAAAATCTTCCAATATATCTCTTTGAATTGATGTACAATTTGGACATGTATCTTTTTCATGGTAAAAGAACAAAAATAACAGTTTGACTTAATGTCCTCAAAATTTTGAAAGAAGAATGAGAACTTTTTAACATGAACACACAACAATAGGTACAGAAAAATATTATCTCTATGGCACAGCAAAGAATATTCATTTAATAACCTTATGTATAGAATAATCAATAAGATTACATTTATAAGTATTACAATCACCTGATTTTCAGTGTTGCCAAAGTAATGTTGGGGTAATGCAAAAGGATGATTATTGTTTCTGAAGTCTTGAATCATATTTTCCTGCTGTTCAGAAGCTGTCAAATCCTCATCAACAGCACTTACTGTGTCTGAATTTGGACTTATAACAGGTTCTGGAAATGAGCTAAAATACACAACTAAATTATAATTATAAATATAAAGGAAAAAAATAAGTATAAAAGAAAAATCAATAATCTCAAGCAAGATATGAAATTAAGATTTAAACTCTTCAGGATTTTAGGTATGAAACTTAAAATGGCATATTAATATTTTTTTTTAATTGAGTAGTACTTAATAAATGATTTCAGAATATGGAAAATTACTTTTCCTGTTTAATGGTTCAGTGTGCAGAACTTTAGAATAACATGCTTTAATTAATAACACTTGGTGTTGGTGTTCTGTAATTCAGTTATCGAAAAAAGGGATGTGGGACAGAACATAAAGCTCTAAGTCTGTCTCCCTAGCAGTTATCTAATCTATGAAGCGGAAAGTTGTATTATGATTGAAAGGCTACTAAGCTGCTTGTTTCACAACCTTGGAAATGAAGTTTCTTAGGAGAATTGTGGGAAAACACAGAGGTACTGTGTTCGAAGAGGATTCAGAGAAGAGTTTAATGTACTCCAGGAAATGGAAAACCTTGAGAAGAGGCTAGTGAGGTGGTATGCACTGATCTATAAGATTAAAATTGAAATTTTTGTATAGACTTGAGATAAAAATTAAAAAATCGAGCGCTTAACTTAAAACTGATAATACTTGAGTTTTAAAATAACATTTATACATAATCACATAAATAATCAGAAAAAAATTATAAAAGAAACATAATTAAAATAAGAAAAGGATAAAGCCAAGAATGCTACTTCATAAAATGAAATAAAAAATAATTTTATTCTGGGAGCGAAGTTGTGTTAGAATAATAGCAGAGTTAAAAAAATATGTACACTACATATCTTGCTCAATTCCCGTAAATCCAACCATTAGGCACAATAAAAAAAGGTGCTTTATCTCACAGATTAGGAGAGACAGAACGAAGGTCAATGAAGCTATGAATAATAAAAAAAATCTTAACTAAATAAAGAAGGAAATTATTATTACAAAAATTAAACTACCTAGGATTTCCATGAAAATTTGAGTAATCCAAATACCGTCGCCTGTAGTTATCATGATTGATTTCATACATATTTTTCCAATACTCATTACTATTTAAATATTGTGAATAGTGAGGAAGAAAAGGTTCTTGCTGAAATGAAGTAACATTAGAGAGATCAGATGGATTCTGACTCAGATCAAGGGAATTATTACAATAGCCTTGATTGTAGTTAAGAGACCAATTTAGATCATTCTGCGCCAAAATGTCTTTCACCTAAAAAAAATTAATGTAAACCAAATTAAAATATTAAAATAAGAAAAGTGATGAAAATAAACAAAGATTAAAATATATAAAAAATATATTTATACTTTCATATCACATGATGCTACATAGTTTCTTATTTACCTACTTGTACTATTCTATTGTTTCCAATTATTCTGTGTGTTTCCTACAGTATCTATATTTATAGTTCATTATTTTCATACTTTCATGAATATACCATGCTCTTCATAGCCCTGATATATGTAGGTTGTAACAATATTAGTCACTAAAAATTAATTTATATTTATAGGGGTCTATCAGAACCTTTTTTATGATATTCGGTTTTTTCAGGTTCTCCAGGTCATTTTTGGAAAAATTCCATATCATCAAAATAGTTGTAATAGGACATACATAAGTGACCTTTATTGATCAAGGTTGATGAGATAATATACCAGAAGTAATAGTCTGTTTAGAGAAAATCTTATAAAAGGGAGAACAGCAATGATACTTTATACTTTATTCTTCTGACATCACTCAATAAGACCCATGATAATATACTTCATTTCTGCTCAGAAATTTTGCAAGTATAAACTTCAAACATTATTGAAGCAATGAATTGATTTTTAAAACATGTTGGTTCAATGGTGCTGAATTATGATATTCCACATAAACAATGGGTACTCATGATGAAAAAGGAAATTGACATTTTTAGGTTATTTACATTTTTTGAAAAAAAGTTAGTTCAAATAAAGAATGAAATGAACCAAAAAGGAATGCTTAAGGGAAATTTCAATACACTACCTAGATACAGTTTGGCAGACTAAGTTTGGTATTACAAACTTAAAATTATTTAAATATAATTATTTTATGTTGGCATTGCAGAGCATGCAGATCTTTTGTCGCCTTGACAAACCTTCTCCATCTCAGCCTGTCTTAGGCTATTTCTTTCCATTTATCTGCAAGCAGCTCTATTGCATTTTTGAGGGTTTCTATCTATCCTTCTGCTTTTTGGCCTTCCACGTGGTATTTTGCCTTCTAATAAGGCATTCATTGTTAAGTAGAGACTTCCAGATGGATTGCTACGAGCTACATGCCCTGCTCATTTTAACCTCCATGCCTTCATATCATGGCATATTGATTGACCAGTTTCTGTAAGCAGTTCTTTATTGGTCTTTCTTCTCCATGTGTTAGAACTCTAATCCCAAATCGCTCCAGTTATCATGCGGAGGATTTTTCTCTCAAATGTTTCAACACTTTTTTCTAGGGTGCTGATTAGTGACCAGGTCTCACAGATTAGAACTGGCTTTATCAGAGCATTGTACATCCTTAATTTGAGATTTCTTGAGATTTCAATACCTTTGAAAGCTAGTTATACGATGGTCTATTTCTGCCCGTTGGTTCATTGAGGTTATTGTGGAGCCAAAGTATTTGGATTTTTCTACTCTCGGGAATGATTTGCCTTCTACACACATCCTCTTATTGGGGTGGAATATTCGGCTTATTATCATATATTTCATTTTGTCTTTATTTACTTTTTGGCCGATATGTTCTGCCTCTCTTATCAGAGTCTTAACAAATTTCTTAATATTCTCTTGATTATTTCCAAGAACAGTTATATCATCTGCATATCCAAGGATTTTATGATTCATTCCAACATGGACCCCTCCCTCCATTTTTCTGTGATGTTTTTTTCACCTTCTCCAAGGCTAAATTGAACATCAGTCATAGTCCATCTCTCTGCCGTAAGCCCATTGGAACTTTGAAGACTTCAGATACTTCTCCTTGTATTAGTACTCTACATTTGGGTATTTGTACACACCTTTGTCAATCTCACCAACTTACCAGGAACTCCTAGTTCAGTCATGATTTTCCAAAGACAGCTCCTGTCCATATAATCATAGGCTGTTTTGAAATCGACAAACAGGAGGTGGACGTCCTAAGCTACTTCCCATTTTTTTTCGAGTACTTGTTTTAGGATGAAGATCTGGTCTAGAGTGCTCAGATTAAAATTCCATTTAAATATTAGTAATTATTAAAACAACTTAAATATTATTAATTTTAAGTCTTATTAACCGTGGGCGGGGTGGCCGAATGGGCAAAGGCGTGTGCACAGCACCGCCGTTGCCCGGCAACCTGATATATCAATCAAATGATATAAAAATAGTCATGAGTTCGCATTCCGGTGCCCGAGGGAGTCTTTTAAGTCTTATTAACCTAAAGGTTGGTTACGAACTTTTCTAACCCAAATGAGAAGGTCAAATTATTTCTGTTGATCCATTACGAAATATAAATCATTCCTTCCAGGCTCGATTCAAACCCATACTACTTCTGGGTTAACAATGTAAAGTTGTAGTCTTATAATACTTGGCCACAATGGCCTCATATAGATTGTTACATGATAATCACAATAAAATACGACCCACTTAAATTAACTTCTTACAAATAAAAAAAAATCATGCAAAATATAAACAAAAGAAATTTAACCTGAAAAGAACTTTTTTTTCCTTCTTGATTTATTTGGTCTAAAGATGTGATTGAACCATCCAAAAAGTCATTATTAGAATAAGGCGCAAACAAGTTTTTATTTGTATACTGACACTGTGAACTACTATGTGTGTTATTCCTGGGAAAACAAAGACAAAAATTAACATACCTTTTAATAAAAAGTTAATTAACAAATAAACAAACAACAATAACAATAACCAATAATTAATAAATACCACCAACAATTTTGACTAACAAAAAGAAGATTTGTTATATTATAAAAATTAAAAACTATAAAAAAATATAGTGTTAATGCAGTTTACAAAGAAATGTTTAAAAATTGCCAAAAAAGTCTGAAACATTACATATATGTTTGATAAAACCAAATAAAAGTTTTTCATTGTAGATAAAGAAAGCATTATAGTTTATGTATTCTTGGGGATAATAGTTTCTAATTTGTTAATTATTGGTTAATTAACTTTTTATAAATTAGTATTATTATATATTTTTTTATATATAATATATATATATATTTTATATAGAAAATGGGTAAACTAATAAAAAGTGAAAATCACATATATTTTTTTAATAACTTTCAAATAGTTAGTAATAAAGAAATAATTTACCTGAAATCAGTGCAGTTATCCGTCATTGAAGGAAAAGTATCTTGAATAAAATTAATATTCTGCTCGGGAATAATGAATTTTTGTTGAATATTATTTTCAGGAAGCTACAACATATGAAAAAAAAAACTTATTTTACACTTGAAAATATACAGTATAAAAAATCAAATGGACAATATTTACCTGATTATAGTAATATGGCCTCTCAACACGTATGTCTCGAGCTCTTAACATTTCTTGTTCTTTCGATTTCTTTAACAGCTCCTGGAATGATTCAACGGGCATTGAGAGCAATGAACGTATGTTAGTATTCTGAAGTGAGCTCGTTGCTGGCCACTGCAATATCCAAAAACAGGTCAAATATTGTAGCCTGATTAAATATGCATACATAATAGAAGGAATAATTTAAAAAATGAATCTACAGACAGGAATCTGTTCAAGAAATTAAATATAAAGGTCACTATAATCTATGATATAAAAGTTGGACTATCATTAAATTCTCTGACAATCTTGCCAATTAAGAGCCTTGGTTCTCCTACCCATAACTTTCAATCTTTTGGATTTGTCTTCTATACTGTCAAGTGTTTTTTTTTTTTTTTTGACATCCATTTTTCTTTTTGTTCTAATTGTGTTTTGAGGAATATTCTTTATTGGTATAAGGTCATAACTCACCCATAGCTTGGACAGCCGATTCTTCAGGGCTTGAAAAACTTTACATCTTGTTTTTCTAGTTTGAAGTTTACTTTCATATTGCTTCTTATCTTTCAAATATCACCTGTGTATGTTCCTTTATTAATCCTAATAATATGGATTACCTCCAGTGAAGATTGTAAGACTGCTTATTCATGGCTCTTATATTTCATGTTAAGATGTGTAGGGAATGACTGATTAAACCAAATTCTTTACAGCCTTATCATGATGCAATTTTAAATAAATTGAGACCACATTAATTTATATAATGGACTAAATTATTTAAAATTGTTAAGATTTCCTTCCATGATCCACTTTCTTATTTGACGCTGGAATATCAAATAATCACTCTATTTTCACTATTGACATCAGTTCCAAGGTAAGTGAAACTCTTTATATTTTCAAATGTATTTTTGTAATCACTACAAGATCCTACTATCAACAATCCTTTTATCCTTTTTTCTAATCCTCTAATTGCCTCATGCAGAGCCAGAATGAATAATGATGATGATAGACAATATCCGTGCTGCACACTAGACCCAATTGGAAATGATTTGCTGTTTCGATTTCTCATACGAAACTGGCTTAGGCATGATTAAATGCCATTTTCCTGAGCTTTGTGATTTTATATGCTATAACAAAATCTAACGTAAAGGTTAAACAAGAGAACGCAATATTTTATCAAAAGGCTTCAGGTAATCAATAAATATACATGTGCATGTGTTCATGTGCACAGCCATATACAAGTAGATTTTTTCCATGGCTTGTCAAAAAAAAAAAAATATCAATAGTACTTCTTTTTGAACTGAAGGAACACTGATAGCCTGATAATATCTCTTTAGAAAATGTAGCCAAAAGCCAAAGTAACACTTGATAAGATTATACTTCAATAATTTCTGCCAAGAGTGACTTGTCTCCAATACTTCAAAATGGATTATTAGTGATCCAAACTTTTTCAAAGCCCCTTTGGCTTTTCTCTGGATCTCCAGCTATTTGAAAATATTTTGAAGAATCCTGCAAGGTCATTTTATTTAGATTAGCGGTCCCAAAACTTTTTAGCCGGTGGGCCGCAATGAGACTTCCCTTAAGTCACGCGGGCCACATTGACAGGCCTGGCTTGTGAAGAAAACTATAAATGACACTTCAGTTTTGAAATGAATTTTAAAAGAGAAACAACTCTTGTAATAAAATGTTTAATAAATTTCATATTTTAAAAATAATCTTAAAATTATACAATGTAACCAAAGAAACTTTTCTGGGCTGTAGTTTGAAGACCTCTGTTTTAGATAAAAACAAAGGACAACATACAAATTTATTCAATTTAAAAGTATTTTACTATTTTTCAGGGGGTCTTATGAATTGAGTTTTCAATAAGATTACATCATTTTTGTTTATTTAAGCTTCAATTTATTAAACACTAGCTGATGTACCTGTCATTGACAGGTGTATAGTTAAAATTTGGGAATCTTTTTTTGAGATGGATATTGTATTATGGGGCTAGGGTCCAAATTCAATTTCATAAAATTGGGCCTGGAGGAGAGAGAGATTTTATGGCAGGGCTTATGGAAGTCAACGTTTCGCAATAGTCATAACAAAAACTTTGTTATTCGGCTATTTGTTTAGGTTCCACACAACTAAACCGACCACCAACAATCCATTAAAATTTGTTAAGTGTTTAATTTTCATTTATGTTGAAGCGAGGAGATTGTGGAGTCGATTAATTAATCAAAAAGAGTTGTAGTCTCTCCACTTCTTTAAACTCTGCTGAATTTATCGCTGGCAAAATAACCAAAATAACATTAGGAATTGAGTCACCTACATCCATGTAAAATTAGAACTTGATCTGAATATTGTGGTGGGCGGGTTGAAATTTTTGGAATTATTTTTTCCTGATTTCCGGCTAAGCCGTTTGGTTAATTCTAAAAATGTATAAGACAATATTTGTTAGGCTTGGTAAGTTGAATCTCATTACACCTTGAACGAGAAGATCGGACAAAGTTGAAAAATGAATGTGTTTTACCCGTTTTATGCGACAATGCGTTAAAGATGTTCGGTATTCCAGATTTTTCCTGTTGAATTGTGATCATTATTTCCATCAGTTGAGTAGTACAACTTTTAAATGTGGCTCGCGATAGAGTAGGTTGGGATGGGAATCGAAGTAACTGCCCAACGGAATCTCTAGACAAATTACTCAAGAATTCATAACTTTAGTTCTACTCAATATTTTGTTTTCATTTAAAGCCTATATTTTGTTAGTCAAACCTAATGTATAATATAACCTAAATATAATATCTATGATTTCAAAAGTCTACCATTAGCCGTTGCCAAGTTTATCTCTGACAAAATTTCGTTGGACAATGCGGACATCTTAATAGACAACAAATTTTTTAAAAGTGGATTTGGTGTCTGTAATGCATAAAACGGAAAGATATCATGAAACGGGTTGATTTTATTGTACAGACAAAACCCTTATTTTAGTTATATAGATTAATGTGATTAATGTGCATCACCTTCCAAAACTTAACTATTCAATATTGACAATATCCATCAACCAATGTTGTATAAAATAATCAAGCTTTATTAATAGTAAATTTATGAAGAAACAGGAACCAAAATTTCAATGACAGAATCACTATAAAAATAATAAATAAATTATGCAATCATTAGATAAACATTTCTTTTACATATAGATTTGGAAAACACTCTAAAAATTAAAGATATTTTCAATGGAGCTGATTAATGAAATATTATCCTTATACCAGGCTGAAATAACAAGAAACAGCTTGACGTTTTCCGCATGCTCCAGCACTTACTAGACAAACGCTATAAGCTTTCAATTAATTACAAAAGACTCATTTATATATGACTGTAATAAGACCTATATGGACTTATGGAATTGAGCTTTGGGGCTCCACTAAACCATTGAACTCATCTTGTATCCAATCCATACAATCTAAAAACCTTCATAAAATCCTCAATGCCCTGTACTTTGTCACAAATATAATCATTCATACTGACCTTATTGTACCATATATTTCCGATTTAGCTCAGTCCAGATACCTATCCTTCCATAATAAACTTCTGAACTGTCCGAATCCTCTTGTTTCTTACTTTATTCCCTTTTAGATTTCTGATAAACCCTCCGAGGCATCTGAGAAGATGGCCTCGGGGCCTTCTTATATAGAATTATAATTGAAGTGATACCAATGAGTAGTTTCTCTTCATGTTGTACATGTCATATTACCAATTCAAACTTACCGGTGGTATTTGTATCTAATGCAGTTGTTAATTTCAAGAAATATATATTTTTTTAAAGTTGAATCTACCTAAAATGGCTGGTGTATATATAAAACACCAATTGCTCAATTTTTAGAGAGCTGGTAATGGTTTCAAAACCTCACCCTAGTTATTACCGGTAAAAGAAATTCATGAAAACTTATACTTGCTTCCATGTTATTACTTGTTTTGAAAAGAGTACTAAAAATGAAATAAATTGTTCAGGAAATAAGAATAATTAAGATCATAAAATGTAATAACCATCCTTTTAAAAAATAGTTTAAGGATTACTTTTTTAAATTCTACACCTTCAAATATAATTTTTTTTTTATTTTGACTTTATATAATATCAGAAAGATTTGTAACTATTATTTTGACTTTATTAAACTATGATATTGAAGAAGTTTTGACAATTTGGAAACAGCCCCAACTTATAAATATATAGTTATGCAGGAAGATATTATTTCCTCTGCCTTTAAAGGAAACTCATTCTCGACTTCTAAGAAAATTAATGAAAAACAAAACCTAAAAGAAGTGCCACCTACCGATGAATCTCCTGAAGACGTAGTTTGGTTTTGAATAATTGATTTCCTTGATTTTCCAACAGGTTTTCTATCCTGAGTAAGGCGCAGATGTTGGTATGCAGCTTCTCTTGCTTCCATCTTTTCATTTTTTCTCCGAACACGCTCCATTTTTTGTTCAGCAAGTATTTTGTCAACAATGTATTCTTTGCCGGTCCTTCTTGCTTCAATAATTTCAGCCAACAAGTGGTACTAAAACATGTCCAGATTGCCAAAGATCAATTGATAGACAATGGAAGAAATCATATTAAAAACTAAAATTAGACATCATTACAGATATTACATTAAAAAATCAAGTTGTGAATATCTGTATGAAGTACATTTTATGATAGCCAACTTGATTGCTTATAAGAGATAAACTATTAAAAAAATAAGAAAACTATAACTTTATGGAAGTAATCAATCACATTCAAAGCAGAGAAAGACTTCCATTTCTATTTATTTTATTTTATTTTTTTAATGAGGAAGCTTAGATAAAGCTCCTAAGTTAAAATGAGCAATTGTAAATCAATATTAACATTTATCACTGGCATAATTTACACATAATGACACAGTATGAAGTAGAATTTTCAAATTAAAAGAAAAACGTAGACAGCAAAAACTAATGATCATGTCTGATGAAAAACAATACATAAGTAAGCCACACATCACTCTACACTGTCCAATAGTTACAATATAACTGAATTATGTACACAAACAAAATACAAAATCAAATATAATCCTATATTTACACATTCATAGCAAATGACAGCTTTTGTAATCATTATTTGTTGATAAATAATAATGTTTGACTTACTTTCAAGTTACCTGGCAATCTCATCCTCTTTGCTATAGCTTGTAATACCCTGTAGTTTATTTTTCTTTCTGACTTCGTATCCATTTTGCACCATGGAATTTTAAAATTAAATTAAAATTAAGGGTATAATTATAAATTGGACAAGCTCGGATCACCGGCATGGACAAACACTGACAGGACAAACGATAAAGGGATCATTCAAATCTGACATAAAAACGTATCCTTCTTCAGCTGGCGGGAATTCGATTGTAATACAAGTGGGGGAACCACGGAAGTACGCCGGCTTCCCTTTGATTTCGTTAAGAAAAAATAAAATGATTATATTTTATTTTTCAACTTAAATTTTAGATACGAATTTATAAATAAGATGATTATCTGGAGTTTGACCAGTTCATTAATATATTATATTAACATACACTCGTATCTTGAAATAAGTTATTTTTGAAACAAGAAAATACTTCAGGATGTCTTAATACATAATTCAAAATTAAAGTTTTTATTCAATTTAAGATGATTGTAGAATACTAAATAGATTAATTTAGTAAGGATCATTCTGCTGAAAAACAATTTGGAAAACCATACAAATTGTACGCATATATATATACATGTACCCACAGGCGGATCTACGGGAAAGACTTTCGGGCTAAAGCCTCCTCCAAAATGGTAAAATATAACCATGTTTTATAGAAACAAATATTAAAAACCATCTCTTAAAGTATTATTCTTCGTGTAATCATATTTAATAGGACTACAAGAATCACTTAAACACCGTGTCATATAGGTAGTTAGTTTCTTTCTCTTTTTTTTTTCAAATTTATTATCATTATATATATGAAAAAAAAAACATTCGGGCTGAAGCCCCTCCTCCCCAAAAATTAAATTCAAAAAGTGCATGTACCACAATTATGGGTTGAATTAAATCATGATTTAGATTTTTTCCCTAATATCTGACGACTCCTTGAAAAAAAAGCATTAATCAATTTAAATAAGAGAATACTCTTTTATATAAAAATAAGTTATGTTTAATTTTATTATCAAGCCAATCACAGGCGGATCTGCGGGAGAGGGGAGAAGACTTTCAGGCTGAAGCCCTCCCTCCTCTCCCGCTTCCCAAAATAGTAAAACATAACAAGTTTTATGAAAAAAATTATCTCTAAAAGTATTATTGTTCATTTAATTACAGTTAATAGGACTTAAAGAATCACTTTAAGACAATTTTATATAAATAGTTAGTTTCTTTATTTCTTCTTTGAGAAATAATTATCGTAATATATTTATACAAAAAAAACCTTTCGGGCTGAAGCCCTCCCACAAAATTAAATCCTGGATCCGTTAGTGGATCCAATTGATAACATATCGTAAGCTTATGTATACCAACTTTTATTAATAAAACACATTACTTTTAAAATTGGATTAATGGAATAAGGTCAATCTCAATATAATAACTTCCTGAAAAAAATTTCATACTTGTATCATAACTATGGGTCTTCTTAAATAACTGAGAAGTTACTAAAAATACTTAAATAAAGATTTTTAGTTATTAAATTATGTAAATTCTGTTCTAAATTTTTCATGAAATATTGATACTTCTCAGAATAAGTGTTACATTTATGTGTTTTTTTTTATCAGTATAAAAACCAACAGTAATTACTTGAGCATGAAAGAGAGAGGGAAAAGTTATATGTTTGGTGTCGTCTTCATTAGAAAAGTATAAAAGAAAATTTACACAGCAAAAGTAATTATAACAATAGTAGTAATCGAAAAAATAAAGAAATAAAAATAAAATAAATATATTTTATTAAGAATAGGTGTGCTTGAGGGGCTGGTGAGGTGCCTAATTTCGACCTCACAGTTTTATCCAGAAACTGTGGACTTCACTGTACCCCCATCACCTCATTTGTAGAACCATGTTTTTTAGTTTAATTGGATTCAGCCACTTTTTTAAAGATTATTGAATGAATATAATAAGTTAATTGGTTTTAGAATGTTGCTATGGCAGATTTATATTTAGTTATTATCTTCATAAATTCTTTGTAGATATTTTATATTTACTTTCTGTTAAGATGAATTTTAATATACCAAGTGAATAATCATGATTTTGATAGGGGGGCTGTATAAAGGAGGAAGAGACGACATCCCGGCAATAAATATTTAAAACCACAAATAAATAATTTAGAAGTATTTATTTAAAACATAGTATAATACAGTGAATCATTCTTTAAAATAAATATTGACAAGCTATAAGGGGTTGAATAAGAAACACGTACATATGTAACAGAAACTAGAATAACTTCTATACTAAAAAATATGTTAATGCTAACAGGTACACTATAATGTATAAGTAACAGGTTCAAAATTCCATCCATATACGGAAGTTATACAATTTATATTGAACCTAATGAGAATAAAATACTCTACAGTACGTGCTACAAACCTACTGATCTATATTTACAGATCTAACACATTTTAGTACTAAATAAAGTTTTTAATCATACAAAATAAAATATAATTAAAAATTTTGCTTATAATTTCTACATAGACAGTAAGAATATCTAATTATACAGTACAAAAACAAAACAAAAAAACATAAAAATAGATAAGAAAGAAATTAAAAATAATTTAACATAAAACTATAATAATATTAATAATGGAATATGGTAGTAAAAGGACTGGCCGGCGATAAAATACTTGAATACAGAGCAGAGAAGAGAGTTTAATTCCTTACATTTAATTTTCATAATTTTTAGTTAATAATTATTATTTTATTTATTAGTTTTGTATTTTAACTAATAATAAAGCTAAAGTTACTTTTAGTAGGATTTTTATTTTCATAATTGATAACATGATTGCCTATCTCAAGCCAATGGCCTGACCAAGAGAGTGGCTTCTGCTTTCACCGAACCTCTTGGGCTGGTTGCTTCGCAGGTGTAGACACCTTCGTTCGAAGGCAAAGCCTCCACGATCTGCACCCAGGATGTAACCATGAGGAGTTCCGGGCCTCCGCGGACTTGGATGGCTACTTGCTGATCGTCTCCTAAACAAAGAGAAATCGAATTATGTAACAAGGCCTAAAGGATCCAGTGTTGTGGTTTAATTACTAAACAATGTATGATGAAACAAGTCTGATCACTGTAGCTTTTAGAAGAGATAGAAAAATATTTATGAGGTAAAACGGTAATATAAATACCTGGAAGGATTTTAGTAACCCCGTCTTTTCCTTTAAAGGTCCAAGTTATAGATGGCACAGGTGATCCTTTGGCTTCACAATCAAGAGTTACCGGCATGCCTAGCTGTGATTTAGTCTCCATTGGCCCAGACTGTATAAGAGGCCCTGACAAATTTATATTTATTTTTATTATTCAATAGTATTTAAATTCCTAAATTTGGTTAATATACAGAATTATTACTGAAAACTAATCAGCCAAACGTTAGAAAATAACTCACATCGTTCTGAACCGAGCGTTCTAGACCATTCGTGCCCAGGAGCTCGGTCATCACTTACTATAATATTTCTCTTTACTTACCGAACTGGCATGGCCCCCAATGCTTGAAAATTACTTTTTGTGTTTCGTCGTTGTTCATATGACAGAGAGAATTATAAGTGACATTATTACTGCCGCATACCATTCGTTTGTCGATCCGGCATAGACATTTTTCACCTGCAGTCTGGAAAAATAAAAAATTATGTGGTTTTTTACAACTGAAGGACATGATAAGAATTAAAATGGTAAAACTTAATTTTATCATTACAAGAGAAATTTATTTACCATAAGTTAACTTATATTAGTTGCTTTTAAGTGTAGTAGTTACGATCTCACACCATACCATCACAGAAAAGAGATGGTCTGGGTGGTGAACCCTTCAAATCGACGTTTCAACAATTTTGAGTTTTTTTTTTTTTTCTGTGGTTAACTATTGAATATTCCATATTTAATTCAGCACGGATACCCTTTCCGACCATATCCCTGATGAGACTTGCGTAGTTAGATAGAGATGTCGGCTTTAAAAAATAGCGTTCACTCTTTTAATATTTTTAAAAAATTTTTATGAATGCTACCGCGGACAATCTTTTTTCCCCAATATACTATGGTCAACTATTTAGTGTTTAATTATTTATTTATTTTTTTTATATCTCAAAACTTTTCGAAGCTTCAGAATGGTGTTAATAATATATACAATTTATTCTTGATAAATTAAGTAACAATAAGTAATGTCGTATATACGGTTGGCTTATTACAATAAATCACGAAGTACATTTTGGATGGAGCTAAACTTTTATCAAACACTTTTTAATAAATTGTGACCTTATTTAACGATGGTAAAAATACGGCAAGTGTATTAAAATAACACAAGATCTCTTACGTATCTTCACTATTTACATTAGGTCCTCAATGGTCGGATTTCACAGAACGAATTTTCCTTAAAACACTTAATGATTTAATTTTATGAAATGATACTTAATGACTTTTTCAACAAATCGATGATGTAGTTATAAAATTTAAGCAATTTCGGAAACATTTGATAAATAAATACATAATGAAGAATTCTCGTTTTGGATTGTGGTTAAGAATTTCTAGTAGAACTCATGCAATATAATAATACATAGTTTAGCAATGTGAGAATTGAGGCTAGTGGGGAATTAATTGTTACCATCGCAATAATAACAGCCGTGGGTTGAGCAATGCATTGTCAACAATTTATAGTGAAACTGATGCTGATTAAATAATAATCGACTCTGGTATACCAATTGGTTTGGATGTCTAATTTTCCAATTTGTTTACTTCAGAATGGAAAAACCTTTCGTAAGGTTTATTGGTGTCTGATGTTTCCATTTTGTATTTCAGATCTGTTTCAGATTAGGAGGATTTGAATCTTGAAAAAAAAAATAAATCATATTAGGATAAAGTGAACACAGAGGATTAAAGTTCGCAATCCCAGTAATCGGAGTTTTTGGTAACCAATTTTAGAAGAGAAATAAAATTTTGTTATTTAAACACTAATCAACATAAGAATCAGTGAAAACAAACAGATCAAAATATAAACAAAACAAAAAATAATTATGGCATATTTCACAAGGTAAACGTCTCAAGTTCAGTTAAGGTGTTTTTCCTGTTTAAGCGTATATTCATGGCCACAATTAAACTTGTGGTCTAGTCCATGTTCTTCCTCATATTTCCTGGTTTGAAACTCTTCACTCCGAAAATTAATAACTCGGTCGAAACGTACCCCCTAAAAAAAAATAATAAACACCGTCAAAACGTGCTCCCCTCAAAAAATTGAAAACATGAAACCTTCTTCTGAGCATCTGTGGCTAGATGAATTATTAGTTTTCGAATACGTATAGCGGTTAGAATTACAGATTTTCAGTATTTTGTTGAAACACTTATAACTGCATTCTATACAATATACAACTTGGAACACTTCATTTGCTTAAAATACGTTGAAATTTATTTATAATTATTCATTTAACCGATATATTGATCCTCTGATAAGTTACCAAATGAGCTTTATTCAATAGTTGTTTTAAAAAACATGATCCATATTACAAGAAGCTGAGAATATTAAATAAATTAGTGTAGAAAAAATACCCTTAAAGCACATTTATCATTAAACGAACCTGTTGATTTATTTTTTTAATAACAAATGCACTGAAAGAAACCAAAAAATAAATAAAGAAAAATGTATAACATTCTGTATTTTTTTTGGTTTAATTTTAATTTTAATAATTTCAAAATTGGTTATTTGTTAGTTGTAGATTTAATACTTAAAGGAAACTATTTATATTTTACATTTTTTTTTTTAAATTGTGACCAATATTTCAGTATAAAATAATACTTTACCTTTTAAGTCATATAAGTAACATAAAACAAATAAATATAACTCCATAACGTAGGTATTGATATAATTTCGAAGAATTCGAATTAAATCCTAATTAGGATGGATGACAGTTGGAATAAAGTAACTTAAAATCTACAACGGACAAATAGATTGATTTTACGGATAACCAGCCTTAATTAGATTTAGATAGCGTAGGCTTAAAGGCGGAATAATGCAATTAGAGATGTGAAGATCTTAAACGAATCCGAGGTTGTCGAATCAAATAAATACGAAATGAAAGACAACCAATTATTTTACTTCAAGAAAAATGTCTTTATAATCTAGAGCTGATTCTTATAACAGCTAAAGAAATATGCAACTCTCAAAGACAAAACAAATTTGCAAAGTTAGTTTTTAATATTTTTATGACGGTAATTACTTTGGAAAAGAAAGAAACTATATAATTTGTGGATTGATGGCTGACTGTAGTGAATAATTAAAGAGAAGATTGGTTGGGGTGTTCAGTAAAAAAAAAAATTATAAAAAAATAAACATAAATTATAAAAAAATAAAAATAAATATAACTTATTTATTTTTAAGGAACACCCCTAACAATCTTCAATTAAACCATATAAAATCATATGTTAAAGTGGTCCTTGAAGACCAGCTAAAAACATAAATAATAATAAATAAAACAGAGAACGATAATTACAGGAACAACAATTACTTTCGGGATATTTTTTATTTTTCTTACATTTGGTTGCTGTATATGCGTCATAATTTAAAAGGAATATGTATTGTGATTGTTTAAGTATTTGTCTCAGATTACTGACAACTAATACAGAGCAATGAAATAAAGAAATGTTTTCCTATTTTAGAGATGGCGGGAGGCTTCAGCCCGAATTCCTTCCCTCACCCCCAAAAAAATTGATTCCTGAACACTACTGATGTGAGTAATACCATCTTCTTTGGAAAGTCTATCAAGCATCGATAATGCTATCGAACTATTGCCAGCCAATTATTTACTTCTGCTCACCACTAATCAAGCCTGGCTCATGGATGCTTGCTCTGGCAGATCTATGGGGAGGGTTTTCGAGTGCAACCCATAGGCGCAGACTACGTGGAGAGGGAGGAGGGAGGAGGGGATCGAGGTGGGCGATCGCCTCACCAATAAAAATGTTGAGAGGGCGGGAATATGGTTTCGTCCACTCAAAATTTGAGATAAAAATTAAAATCAATGTTAAATAAGCTAAATGAATGAATAAAATGTGTATGAATAAAATTTAAAGACTAGAATCTATAAAACCACTATCATACCTATCGTTCTTTATGGTTGCAAAACGTGTTCGCTTACATTAAAGGATGAGCAACGTGTTAAGGTTATTGAAAATAAAGTGATGCGTAGAATATTTGGACCGAAGAAGTTAACCGGAGAGTTCAGAAGGTTACACAATGCCGAATAGCGTGAACTGTATCCGGTTAATATAATTGAGGTGATTACATCTCGGCGTATGTATAATTGGGCTTGTAAAATTGTTGGACTTAGTAACGGAAGAATTCCTTAATGGTTGATATTTACTGTACTTAATGGTCCGAGGGGTTGACCGAAGCGAAGGTGGGAAGATTGCGTTGAAACCGATCTGAAGGAACTGGGTTTGAATAAGCGATTGGTGCTGTCGGCATCGGAACTTCGGGTTCAGTAAGCCTTTTATTATTATTATTATTACTAGATACTCATACTACTGTATGAGGCGTTTGGTTTCAAAACCGGTTACATATATTTTTTATATTTTTCATACGTTTTTAATACCAGAAATGATGTGTTGTTTTTAATCCGTCTAGATCCTCCAAAAATGAATACCAAAAGTTTCGGTTTCCTGCCAAACACCTTTTGTTGTTGATAGTTAACCTTCTCATTCTTTCTCAAAATAGTCTTAGTTGGTTTGAGCTATTTAGATAGTTAAGGTTTATTTAGATGGTTTGAGCATGAAATCCTTTCTTTGAATGTTCGCCCTGCTCTTAACCCTTTCATAATGGATATAAAATTGAAATTCAATTAATTCAACCTAGGAAAACTCAAAGACTTGAAGAATCTTGGAAACGTTCAAGATATCAGTACAATTTTTGTGTGTAAACAATTAAAATTATGTTTATATCTTGTTAAAATTAATAAAAGTAAAAATGTCTCAATAAAAAATTGAAAAATGTCTTTTTTTCCCTACCAAAAACGAATCAGAAATAGATATTTTCTGATCAAATTCAGGCATACCTATCGTATTTTTTATATCAAATGGAATTGAATAAAAGGGGATCACAAAAAGTTGTCAATAAAATTGTTTAAAATGAATCGTTACCAAAATAACGAAAACAAATTTTTAAATTGATTGTTTTTTTTTTTAAATATAACCTTTTTTGATCAATCCTGAAAAATGATTGAATATGGATATAACCAGTTTTCAAACGTCTCAACTATAAATATGTCTTATGAGATATGAACTTTCGGGCTGAAGCCTTCCCCCCTCTCCCCCCAAAAATAAATTGTGGATCTAGTGATGGCTGCTTGTGCATATTGTCTACTGGGAATGTTAAGATATATATTTATTAAAATGCTTTAAAAATTCGTTTTTAATTTCCTCTGTGACCATGTTCTTGTAGTCTCCCATTCCGCTAGTGAATTTTATCCATTAACTAGTTAGGTTTAGTAAGTTGTTAGAGGACAAAAGAATATCTTGAGAGGGGGCTTGAACTGTTGCGCTAGACATAACAGACCATTTGCCAAGTCGTTTGGCATCAGGGTTACGTAAACATGCCTTCCCTGGGACAGAAGCGTGAAGGGAAGATGGTGGTTG